GAACATTTATTGACACATAATCACTCTATTAAAACCATAAAACTAATTAAAAACGTAAATAATTACAAAGAACTTAATATCAGAGAAGCAATAGAAATGTTTAAAAATAAAAACAATTTAATTAATTGGGATCTTGGCCCACTGAAAAATTCATTATTAAACTTGTGTAAACTGGCAAAATGTGATAATATTACTTAGTGATAACGTCACTAGGTGATAAGGTCACTAGGGGTATATAAGGGAGTTTTTTCTAGTCGGGGTGTCAGTATGTGTTTAGCGTTGATAATGGTAACATTGTTTCCGAAATACGTATCCGCGACTTTTCATTAATTTTTTTGTGGCTTTTGAGTTTAATATTTTTAATATTTTTTAGTTTTTTTAAATTAATAATATTTTTAATATAGTTTTAATTTTACTTAATTAACTAGCCACAAGTGATCAATTTTTATTATTTAATTATAATTATAGAACAAAACTTTTTATTTTTAAAAAATTTTAAAATTCAATTTTTTCCTACCTAGATTTAGATAATAATGGTAGCCATGTATATCCCACAACTGTTTCAACAGTAATTGTAGCCTGTTTTTTCCGAGAACGATCTACAGAAATATGTTTAAAGGTAAATAATAAATGATGTTTGTTAGTTATATATACGGGAAGTTTGATTTTGATTTCATTATACCATGATGGATTAGTATTATGGTACAAGACACTAGTAAATGCAGAATCTAATAATTGACCATATGATCCATAAATACACTATAAATATTAAAAAACAATTAATATAAATAATATTAAACTGAATAAAAATGTTCAATACAAACATTAATAGGTTTTGAGTCAGTATTATCATCATCAAACATTTGCACAGTACAAGTTATATTGCGTGCTCTAGGAAAATGTTTTTGAGAATCAAACGCCAGAGATAGTGGATAGACATACAAATGATTAATATAATTAATCTGTGGATGTGGGTCAGGATTAAGTTCTGAAATTTCCTTGATAGGATGATCTCGACTTGGTGGTATTGGAAATGGTTTTACCGGTGCCATATAAGCAGTCAATGTGTCTAAATTGTTAGTAAATAAATGAAAGATAGTATAACAAAAATATAGTTAATTTTTCTATAGGGCCAATCAACAAAAACAGGAAAAAATATGTCCCTTTTTATCTAGGGAAACTTGAAATATGCTACAAATACCCAAGATTTTATTCAGGCAGTTTAAAAAAAAATCCATTTTTGTAGAGTAGCCCTTTTATTTTAATTACAGATAAAAATATTTATTTGATTTTATGATAACTAACTTTCTAAGATACTAGATACTGCTTGAATTTTCAGTTGAAGGTGGCCAGGTATAACAGTAAATTTATTCATTTTTTCAGGTCTGAAAAAAATTTTACTTTAAACATTTTTTACTAAAAATAAAATTTTAAAAATGAGTTTACTTGCGGTAATCTAATAAAATCCTTATCATATCATCATTGCTTAATTTTGAAGGATCTTGTCTATATAAGGTCATATAATCTGAAGAGGTATCTAACTCACAACTATAAAGTCTGAACAAAGGCCTAGCTCCCCAGGCAAAAGGCATATGATAATTGCCAAGTCTAAGAAAAAGAAAGTTTTAGATTAATAATTTACTATTTAATAAAAACTACTCACTGAATACAATCATTTTTAACACTTTTATAAACTTTAGCACCATTTGAAGTTGTTTTGATGTATGGTTCAGATACACGAATAATGCTTCCTTGGAGTATTTTATCTATTCTCAAAAGCAAAAAAATATCTGAATGAGGTTTTGTTACACACATTATTGCCTAAAAAAAATATTTTTGTAATACATTCTAATGACACTAATATTACTTAGAAATACAATAAAATTAAGATCAAAATTTTAAAGTAAGTATACTCTAAAAGCCAAAATTATAATTACTTTTAACAAACTTTTTTTTTTAAAATAATATTTTCATTAGTTTGTAATAGAATGTGTATATACTTGTTTTTGCTTGAACAACCATTCTTTCATGACACAACAATTTTTAGCCAATTCAATATTTCCTTGAAAATCATCTCCATTCAGTAGACTTCTTATAGATGAACAATTTGTATTAAAATGAAAGTCTTCTGATATCTTTTGTGCAGAACGAATGTCATACAAAGCTAATGTAGTAAAATAAGGTTCAACCTAAATAATATTAAGTTTTTAAAAAAGTTCAACAATAACTAACATAAAAATTTATAATAAATAACATTTAAAATTTTTTCTCATAAACAATTACTATACTTTTTACATATTTTATTTGATCAAATATTATTGGATAAGGCACATAAAAAAATTATTTTGTCATTATTAAGTTGGGAAATGCAACAGTAAATAAAAATTCAACCATAACTATTCATAACATTGTTATTACCTTAGAAAACATTTATCTATGGATTATAAAGTTTTGTAAAGTAATACTACTAAATGTAAAACCAAAATTACATGTAATCAAAAATATTATTACATATTTTTAACAAATATTGTTTTCATATGAAAGCCACTTTTTAATAGGCTGGCTTTTTCTTTTCCCATCAGTAATTGTTAAATAAAAGATACACTATATCTGAAGTTAAATATCTTAACAGCTTAATCTAAAGATCAATTATATTCTATGTGCAAAAATATTGAAAATTGAGATAATCCAAGAAAAATTTTCAAGTACCTTGACCAATAATTCACGATAATATCTATTCAATCTGAATATCATAACTCACTCAATTACTTATGAAATAAAAATAATTTTTAAAATTTTTTTTGTTGTATATATTTTTTGATGTATCAATTATTAAGTACTTTTTCAGATCATTCCTTATACCTTATAAAGATAACAAATTAATTTTTTTAGTAGTAATATATATAATATACTAGTTAAGTATTATTTAACTGAGGAAGAGGAGTGTGCCCGAGAAATGTTTAATGAAATAATAAGGTATAACCTGCGCCTTATCCTAGTCAATATTTTAAAATGGTAATAACTTTCAATTTAATATGTCAAAGATTGTTACTAACCAGTCATTTCCTAGTAATTTAGATAATTAAATGAAGGGTATAGGGGAAAAACTGTAGTAGTCCATTTTTGTAAATTTTTGAGAAAAGCAAAACTAAAATGTAATAAATTTCTATCCCTTTAATAATAAAACAAAAATTGACGACTTTATAATTAGCAAGATGAAAATATTGTTTAGCAAATAGATTTCATTACTTGATACTACTACTAATAAGATATTAAATCAAACCATAAAATCAAAAATGAAAACAACTTGAATATTACCATTTTTCCCTTTATTCTTCAAATATATGTTGTTATTTAAACAAATAAAGTTTACACGCCTTTAAGGTATAAGGGATAGACCAAAAAAGTACATGATAAATAGAAAAATGTATGTAATTAAAAAGCTAGTTTAGTAAAGCTATAACTGACAATGAAATCCAGGGAAGGTAGTCCTATAAATAATACAGATTACGAATATCACAAATTATTAAACAATTTGATTTATATAAAATGACAAGTGATCACTCAAAATATAACTTCATACTAAATTAGAGTTACTAAGAATAATTTAAAGACAGTAATAATCTTAGAAAATATTCAGTATAATTTTGCGTCATGACAAAGCTTGTCTATACAATTCTTGCACAACCAAATAATAAACTCTGTAAAGTTTTAAATTTGAACCCAATGTAAATCTCCTTAATCCCCTATCTTGTACTTAATGGTTTTTATTTTTTTTTGTTCACAAGGGGCACTTTAAGGGTAATATTACACCTTGGGTAATGAGACCAAAGCAACTGTTATGACTTGAATATGAAAACAGACGAACAAATTTTTTAGAAATGACATAAAAAACTTATAATTTTCTGTTAGGAAAATTATACAAGATTTAAAAGTGACTATATTAAAAAATAAATACATGGTTATAAAGCCAACTTATTAAATCGTTATTAAGCACTTTAATTTTACTTTTAATCATATATTGATATCAGTTTTTGTTCACATTTTATAAGAATATATGCATTATTTTTTAGCCTACCTATGTACTTAAAGTCCCCCGGGCAATGGATCCCACTCTGGGATCCGGCTAACGGGGGAGGCCACGCCATGTTATGAATCAGCTCTTGATTAATTTCGGGTTGAGTCACAACGTGGTGGTGTAAGTTTTAGAGACGGCGTGGGCCGCTCTGAAGTAATACCTAATGGTAGTTCCGGTCGTTTAAAACTAAGCCGGTCGTTTAAAAAAAAAAAAAAATGTACTTAAAGTCTCAACTTATATTGGTCTCTTTAAAATCATCAGAAATCATTAATGGTCTTCCACTCCTTACTTTTTGAGTATCTGTATGACCATTTTAAACAATCTGATCTACTTGGTAACATGCTAACAACTCATAATATCATAAATTTAACGAGTTGATGAAGAATATTTACGGGATATTGATTTGGACAGTCATAAAATAAATGAGTGCTCAAACCTCATAAGAACAAGGGCTGCAGGATAAATTCTCCATTGAAAAAGTTTGCTATAACTAAACAAAATGGGCTAAAAATACAAGGAACCCCTCAAAATGACTGTTAGAAGTTTAGATACACACCAGATGTCTCAACTTAGATAAGTAATATTTTCCTAACATTTCAAAGGATTTGTAACCTTACATTCTGGATGGCCCATGCAATTCAAAAAATCAATAAAAACAAATTTAAGACATTTATAGTCCATATAATGAAAGAACTATGTTACATATCGATAGAGCTAACATTTAAGTTATATTACAACAATATTAAATTTTTTTACTTGATTGTCATTATTTTCCTCATTACACAAACGAAATTTTAACAATTGACATTCTATTAATATTTTTTGACCAAAACGTTCTTTGTAAGGTTCTGATACACTGTCTGAAGGCTGATTTAAAATATTTTGTTTAATACAATTATTGGGCTGTAAAAAAAAAATAATTATTACAACTTAGTTCAAATAAAAAAATCCAGCACAGGGGGGTCGCGGTACAGTGGTGTCGTTTTCACACGAAAATAGCATTCGGTAGCGATTTTCGCCGTGAAGACAAGTCCAGAGGTCAAATTTTTTTTTTAAATTAATGTATATTACATTAGCATTAATTTAAGATATATATAAAAGTATCAGACCTTCCGGAACATTTTCAAAAGTTAAGTTGAAAAAGTTCTACTTTATATATGCATTTTTTATATTTTAAGCCCCCCACATATAGGGAAATGGTCTGATTTAAAAAAAAAGTATGTCCAATGAAAGATGTATATGAATACTACTTTTCATGAAAAAATTGTATTGATCCATACATTTTTTAAAAAGTTATAGCACTTTAAAGTAAAAAATGTAAATTATAAAATCGAGAATTTTCACACAAAAATAGCATTCGATAGCCATTTTCACCATTAAGACAAGTCCAGAGGTCAAATTTTTTTTTTTCAAATTAAAGTATATTACATTAGCTTTAATTTAAGATATATATAAAAGTGTCAGACCTTCCGGAACATTTTCAAAAGTTAAGTTGAAAAAATTAATTTTTTGTGAAAAAGTTGTCTTTTTAAATCCCCCCCTGTGGGCAGATAAAGGGTCAAATTTACAAAAAAAAATATACCAAATGATAGGTAAAGACTCATGTGTCTATAAATAAAAAATCATATTGATTTGGTCATTTTAAAAAAAATTATGGTAGTTTTAAATAAAAAAAATTTAAAAATTTGGAAAATAAACGATTTTTAAATTTTTTGGAGATTTTCCTTATTTACGGGGAACGAAGGGAATTTTTTCAATTTTTGAGGGTAATTTCTTCGACTAGATATGATTTTTGATCTTTTGACGTATTGTTGAAAGAAATTGGTTCAGTGAAAGCCTCGAAAAAGTGGTAACAGACACATGAATAAAAAAAAAAAAAAACACATCATAGTAAAACCAATACCTTCTCAGCTTCGCATCGAAGCTAATATAGATATAGTCGTCTTATTTTCACTAGATTTTAAATTAAGCCAAATTAAATGATTCAATTTTTTAATTAGTATTCAGCAATAAAAGGTCATTAACACATAACATATACATGTTTAAATGCTATTAATAAGATTAGTAGTAATTTTTTCAATATTGTCCCAAAACCCATTTTTTAAGGTATGTATAGATTTGTTTATATTAAATTTAAAATTAAACCATATCTACACAATAAAAAAAAAAAGAAAAAATATAATAGTAAAATCAATATTTTTTCATATTTGTATTCAAGCTAAAATAATAATGATAACAATTATAATGCACCACAATATTATTTTTTCTTATTATTCTGTGTGAAAATTTTTTTTATCTTTTATAGAGGTAAAAAATATTAAAATATATAAATTGATTTATTTATTTATTAAAACTCGATTTTTTTTTTTTTTAAATAAATAAAATAAATTAAGTTACAATCAATTATTTCCCAACTACACAATTTTCAATTTTAGTTTTTTCTTTAAATAGTTTAGGGAAAAAAATATTCTAACAAATTATTGGAAAATTTATGTAATACAAAAATTAATTTCTTGGAATGAAAAATACTAAAATTCAAAATATTTCCATAAATATAAATATTAACAAAGAAATTCATTAATATAACTTTTTTTTTTTTTTTAATAAAAAAACTTTTAATGATAAATATATAAATTGAAAACTTTTATTTAAAAAATACCTGTAGAAGAAAAGGACAAATAACAAATATTTTTCTTCTTTGTTCTTGTCTTGCATGAGCTAGCGTAGAATATGTCTCTCTGGCATACTTCATTAATTGTGGATTATGTTCCAATCCTTTTAAAGTTCCAAAACTTTCAATTGATGATGAAATAGGTCTTATATTGTTTTCTTCTAAAAGTAAATTAAAATTTTAGAAAATAAATAAAATAAAATTTATTTTATTTTGATAAATAAATATCTGTATTATTACACATCATTTGGTGATCAAATAAATCCTGCATTTTTCTTTATTTTTTTTTTTTATCAATAGAAAAATTTTATTAAAACATGCATAACCAGCCAAAAAATTTAATTTGCACAAAACTATATAGATAATAACCAAACTGTATTATAGCAACTATATTATTTCATAAACAATATTGAAAAATACCTAGCACAGTGGGATTGTGGCACAATGGGGACAGGATAGTTGAAAAAACTATAGATGATATCTGACATTGATTATAATCACTATCATAAAGAACACTAATGCAAATCTATAGATAGTGTTTAATTTTTAGAAGGAATTATTGAATTATTCTAAAAGCAATATGAACTCCTATTTTCTTATTTATATCCAGATAACAAGTTTTATAATTTATAAGTATAATATATGAATAAATACTTATTATAGTAATTAAATTTAGAGTCAAATTGATATTTAATAATTTAGTATTGGAATTTTTATGGAAAAATTATAAAATGTTATAAAGCTGTAGTATATTTAAGTTAAAAAAAAAAAAATTAGGTCTGACGACTTATCTTTTAGGTGCAAATATTTGCTATAGTTAAAAAAAAATGATATTTACTACTTTACACATCTTTACATATTTCAAAATAAATACAATCTTTTCTGTTCTAACAAGAAAGTTTCTTGTTTCATCATATAAATTTGATAAAGTGCTTGATGATATGACTGAAGCTGGACCATCATATAATACATAATATCTCAAATCATAGTCTTGTGAAATTTTATTCCAAATGACTTTGCTTTTAGAGGAGTAAAAATTATATGCTTTTAACAGTGGGAATCGCACATCATTTGGTAAAATTATAGCACAAAAAAACATTTTTAAAAAATTGAAAACCTTCAATTTTAGTTACATAAAATAATTTCTTAAAATAAGGAAAATAAATAATATAAGGAATAATATATTCTATATTAACTTTAAAAGTATTAAAATTTAAGTATATTTTTAATATATTTAAATATTTAAATTATAGTATAGTGCTTAAACATCACAAGTAGGATGTGATGAAATAGACAAAGATATGTTTTAAAGAGAGGTTGATCAGGTGATGCAAGGAATACCGGGTAATGAGGATGTGGCAATAGATGGAGATATGAATGGACATGTTGGTAATGAGAGGAGAGAATATAAAAGAATACATGAAGAATATGGATAGGGAAGAATGAAGCTGGAGACAGAATCTTGGATTTCGCAGTATTGTATGATCTATCTGTGGTTAATACTTATTTTAGAAAGAGGGAAGAATAATATATAACTTATAAGAGTGGATTAATAGATAGAGCCTAATATAGCTGCCGCACTCAAGAGCTAGAGAATCAGATGGACTAGACATGACTAGAGAGCAGAAAATCAACTTATATTGATCATCACAAAATAGAAACCAAACAAAAGTCAACCAAGAGGAAGGCATAGGCTACGATGGGAGGCCTGAGTCAAGGACGATCACAGGAACCAATCCCTTATGTATTATACATGAATATTACAGAGAATACCTATGTTGGACCAGAACCAGCGGTAGGACTCACTGAGCAATCGCTCAAAGCGCTACCCAAGAATTGGTGCAGAGAATAACACAAGAAAATCTGGAAGTACTTGGTAGTACCTAGACAATTTAAAATGTTTATCAAGACCCCTAATCTACTGTTGGGTAATCTTAATAGCATGACTAGACATTAAATAAGCACCTTGACTGGTCTACTGATAGGACATAGTCACCTGCTTGAACATTTTAACACAATGGGGGTATCGGAATCACTAGTTGAGTAGAGGAGGAAGACGCATTTAACATTATGTGCGAATGTGAAACCTTGTCCACACCAAGATCAAACTACTTAAGTAAACCTTTTCCTGAAAAAGAAGATATTAAAAACCTAAACCCAAAGAGATACTTAATTTCGCCGGAAAGACGGGACTTTTTGGTCATCTATAAGGAGTGACTCAATGGCCACCCTTATAGAATGATTAGTATAATGTATTAACACTTCGGTGATAACACTTAGGTGGGTAAATTGAATCAAAACAATTCGGTATGGGGTGCGCACAATGGACTAATGGGTCTGAATGCATGGGCATTATGTTCACCTTGATAATAACTAAAACTAAAAAAAACTAAAATTTGATTTAACAAGGTAACAAATATTCTGCTTTCATGCATGTACAAGGTAATTTTTTTAGCGCTTTAAACTAGTAATTATACAGCTAGTATTGTGTATTTGTAACACATTTCCCAACCATGCTACATACTCACTCTAAGTATTAAAATGCTTGCAACTAATAAGTACTTATCATTAAGTTAATATTAACACACCAAATTTTTTTTAAAGAAAATAGCTTGAAAATGGTTATTTGAAATTTTAAAGAATAAAAAGTAATTTTTTTTTGTTAACTATAAACAAATAAAAAAACATGCTTTTAACAAAGTTCCATACCGTAAAAATTATTTTTAAAAAAAGTAACATTCAATGTAATATAATTTCAGTATCTCTACATTAAGATATGAAAAATTTTCAAGTTTTAAATTATAATTATTCTGTATGTAATTGAGTGGGTTATAACAAAAAATCACTCTGTATATATATTTGTATATTTTAAACTAATTTGTAAAACTATTATTATGATAATACATATATGAGTACCATTAATGTATAGATAGCACCACTTCCAGTGTTTGGAGGTAGGTAGTGGTGTCATCTAGTATTAACAATAGGGACTGCGTGGGGAATTAGTAACGTGGCAGTGCCTGATGCGTATAGTCTTGGATTCGAGACTTAGATACAGGTGGCTTCATTTTCTGAATGAGTCAATTTAGCAATTGAAGTCCTCATACCTTTCTCTGGCATAGGACTAACTACCCATACCGGACTATACACTGTTAAGAAACTTCTTCTTAAAGGAGACCACAATCAATGGGCCATAAAAAAAAAGTTATTTTTTGTAAAACTTATTTTAAGAAATTTATAAAATGAATAGTACTATTTACTGTTTTCTAGAAATTTATCATCTCTTTTACTATGTTTTAACGCTAATTGCAGTTTATTCATCCAATCCATTATATCAGCTTCAGAATCAGATGCCAAACAATAGCTTTTATCAGAATCAACCATTCGAAGTTCAAAACAAAACCTTCCTTTCTTAACATTCTGAAATAATAAAGTAATTAATTTTTAATAAAGTTTTTATTTCTTTAAAATTAAAAATGTAATTAAAATATTAATTTTTAATAAAAAAATATAAAAAATCTTTTAGTTTTTAATAATATTAGCCACAATTCTTACTCGAATAACTTTATCACATAAATCCATAACAATTGTTGCTTTAGCATCTCCTTTTTTATCATCTTTATATACTTCTAATATATAAGTGCCATCAACTTGTTTTCTAAATAGTTAAAACATTTTATTTAACTAAAAAATATAAATATTTTTAATTTATTGTTTATTTTAAAACGTAAACATTTTTTTTTATAAAAGTATTAAAGTGATTTTAAGTGAGATTCTTATAAATAAAATTTTCTAATTTATCTCAAAACCAATTCATAGAAATAAAAAATTAAGAATAACACCAACTATTAAGGATAGATTTTTTCATTCGACTAATGGTCTTGATAAATAATACTACATAATTACTTTAAAATACAGAAACGTCTTTTGAAAGACTTTGAACCAGCTAAATTTGCAAACATTCGTTCTGAAGCACCTCCACTACCATCTGGTCCTTTGAATAAGTATCCTTGTTTAAAAAGTGTATTGTCAATTTTTTCAACTTTTAAATCCTATATTATTACATTACATAATTATTAATTAAGATCAATCAAATTAATTGGAAATTAACACTTTATTTATATTTTATTTCTCTCTCACAGTCTAGTATTTATTATAAGTGTCCTTAAAAATCATTTTCATACAAAAATTAGTTTGAAAAAAAAAAATTTTAAAAACATTAATTTCAGTTTCTTTTTAATAGCCTTTATTAAAATAATAATTAGCTCAACAATTATAAGCGAAAGAAAAACAGTCATAGTACTAGTTGTAATGGTACAACAAATTGTCGCGGTCGCATCGCAACTCCAGCTTTACCACTGGATGGCGATCGCGGTGCTTCCCCTTTACATCCAGCAGGTCGCGCCATATGGAGTGGCTGACAGGTGGCGTGAACCGGTCCAGCCCGTCCACAACTAATTCGCTTTTTCTCTTTGGACCGTCACAGTCAAGAATACGTATAAAGTTTTTTGTTTTACTCCTTAATTGACCTTGTCATATAAAGGAAAATATACGTTAAGCAATATTTAACTGACGAGTTATGTATAATTATTATTATTATTATAAAACAAACCCTGACCCCATCAAAATGTGGCAATAATTGTTAGTATTATATTAGTACTTTATTTAAAATTATTGTTAACAGAGCCTTTAATGACAAACTGAAAAATTATTAAATAAAAATTTTTAATTGAAAGAAAAGAAGAGAAAATAAAACAGATAAATAAATAACTACAATATAATAATAATAGTAATAATAGTAATAAAATTAGAGATTAAATGACAAAGCCGGAACTCCTCAAGAAGGATATGATGGAAATAATTATAATGGAAGAATGGGAATTAAGAGTTTTAGCTAAGGAAGGGGGATTAATATTGTGGGAGGCTAAAAGGCTTAATAGTTTAATAAAAGCTGTTAATTAGAGCAGGACAATCAAAGAGAAGATGACGAAAATCGCATAGAGCTTCACTATCATGTAGGGGACAGAAGGGAACGGAATTTAAGGAAAGATGGAACGCATAGTAAGGAAGAAGATTATGACCTAACCTAAGTCTTGAGTACTGAGAAATGATATTTCAGGATAAGTCAAGGATATGAAACCATGGAAAATGAATAATGGAAGGAGATATCGAGCGATACCAACATACCGTTTTCAATTTTATTGTAGCCCAACTGTCCTGTCAGGCTTGAAGAACTGTCTGTCGAAAGAGGCGGAGAAAGTCAGAAGCGGAAATGTTATGACTGGAAGAAGTAAAGAAGGGGGAGGTAGAAGTAGCACGATGGTCAGCTGTTTCGTTACCTAATATACCGGCGTTTTTTAGAGCGGATAACGGATTTAAAAATGAGAAGTAATGAAGAGGGATGAGAGCTCCAGGATGTAATTATGAGATAAACGGACGGTAAGCGTTTTTTAGTGAAAATAATTAACTGGCTTTTCAATGGAACAGCCTCAAAATAATGAATTTGAAGAGAGTTGGAGAGGAAGGCAAGTGAATTATTAAGGGAGTTGAGGGCATTATGAATGGATATATGAGGAGGGAAAAGAACGATATCAGCATAGAAAAGTGAAAAAGTTCCACTAGAGGAAAGGGAGAGGCTAATTTTGCTTATGTAAACATTAAAAAGAAGAGGACTAAGGCAGCTACCCTGAGGGAGGCTGCGGTAGGAGGTGCGATTTAATATTAAACCAGAAGGAGAAGTGAATGTAAGGAAACGTTTTGAATAGAGACGTGAAATAAAATTACAAAGTGTAGGGGGTATAGAATAAAAATGTAAAAGGGAAATAAGGGTAGGAATGTATACAGAATCAAAAGCACCTTTGATGTCAACAAAGACGGCGGGACAACAGGATTTATCACAAAATGCTTTATATATACAGACTGTGAGAGTAGATAAACACTCCATGGTGCTAAGCCCTCTTCAAAACCCGTATAAGTTAGGGGAAAGACAGTCATTTTTTTTCAAAAAACTAATCAAGGCGGTTTTTGATAATGTATTCAACAAAATTATGTCAAGAATCAGGAATAACACCTTGGGAACACAAAGAATTGAGAATTATTAGGAAAATTTCAAGGCAATGAGAAGGGACATGTTTTAAAACCAAAGGGGAAATTCCACCCAAACCAGAGATGGACGATTTACGCGAGTAGATTGCATAGGAAATTTTACTGTGTATAAACGAAAAAGTAAGAGGATGAAAAGGGAGAGAATTAAGGAAGGGGTTAGTATCAAGGGTAGGAGAGGATTCTTTTAAGGATGGGATGTAGGGAGGAGCAACCTTACTGCAGAAGGGATTAAACCATGATTCGTTTAAAGAGGGAGAACTATTATATAGACAGTTTTTTAATTTTTTGGCAATAGCCCATGTATTGGACAGGCTAGATGAAGGATTAAGTGAGGAACAGAAGGAGCGCCAGGAGATAATTTTTGCTTGTTTAAGTATTTTTTGAACAGAGGCTTGTACCTTTTGGTACTCAAAAAAATCGCTTAATAGACCCAAGGATCTATATTTTTTAAAAGCTTTATTGTGCTCATTGATAGCGTAGGTGTAAGAGGAAGACTACCATATTGGAGAGGAGGGAAAAAACTTTTTGGTTTTTTTAATTAAAGGAACAGATAAATTAATGGCTCTAATAATTGTAGACAACAACCAGTTGTAGTCTGTAATGGGAAAGGAGGAGGAAATATTAGAAGTGAAAATGGTCATGTAATTTTAAAAAGATGGGCAATCAGCTTTCGAATAATTAAATCTGTTAAAAGTGGTGTGCGAGGAGGAGGGAGAGAGAGTGGAAGAATTTGTGTAGGAAATAATAATGGGAAAATGATTACTACCATGAGTGCAGTCTAGGCCAGACCACGACAATGAGAAAGAGGGAGATGAAATAGTTAGGTCAACCGCGGAATCCATTTGGGAAGGGCCTATAAAGAGGGTGGGGAGTCCTGTATTGAGAATATACAGATTGTAAGCAGAAATAACAGACGAAATAATGTTACTACGATGATTGGAGATTAGTGCACACCAGGAGGGATGGTGACCATTAAAATCACCGCCTAGAATAGAATTACAAGAAACTAAAGAAAAAATTTTATCAATTAGAATAGAAGGAGGGTTGGAAGAGGGGGGAATGTAAATAGACCAAATGGCAATGGGATTGGGTAAATTAGTAAACGCTTCGATACCAACAAGATCTATGGAATGATTAAGAAGCAAGATTTTTAATACAGAATCAATAGAAATAGGGCTAATGTGGATAGTATGATAGGAGATGATGGCTACATCACCAAAATCGTAGATACGATCAGAGCAATTAATGTTTAACTGTGCAAGAGAAACACATTTGTTTGTAAGGAGCCAAGTTTCAGAAAGGAGAGCAAAAGAACATTTATTGTTAGAGAGATGAAAAGAAAGATTGTGCATTCTTGGGAATAAACTTCTTAAGTTCCATTGAAGAATGTTGAAAGAAAGATAGTTAGGATTACTATTAAAACGTGTAATCATTGTCAGATAAAGGATAGTGAATGTTAATTAATGAAGATTAATAAGAACTAAATCTAGTTGCGGTCATCAGAATTTATATTACAATTTTGGGACATATTTTTAAAAAAACTGCCATTAGGCGAAATTGGTCTAGAACAGTCATTCGGTAAAGGAGGATAGTAGGGGGAAGGGACTTGAGTTTTATTACTTTTTTTCTTATTTTGTTTATTTGTATATGTATTAGTAGAATGACTAAGGGAAGGAAAGAAAAGAGAAGCTACGACTTTGATACTAGATATATTTGTATTTTTTGCAACATCAGAAAAGGTAAAAGATTTATTAACTAAACTGGAACGTTTGATTGAGGAGGCTTCAGAAAATGAGACATTGTTTGTGGTCATTACTTTTTTAATGTCCTTTTGCACAGACCATTTGCTGCAAGATCTATCCATCGCAGGGTGGTTAAGTTTACAAAAAATGCACGAAGGAGGTGTGGTTAACTTGACCTTACAATTAGATTCAGTGTGGTCAAAGAGAACGCAATGATTGCAGCACTCCTTACTGCGACAGAACTTGAAAGTGTGACCAAAACGTAAACACTTTCGACATTGGTCTGGAGAACGAATGATCGGAGAAACATCGAAAATAACTTTGTATATTGATTATTTTTGAGGAAGAGTTACTGACAAAAATTTAAGTTTACCTAAATTTTAAGAAACGAGGTTGTTATCCTTTTAGCTTCGATGCGAAGCTGAGAAGGTATTGGTTTTACTATGATGTGTTCTTTTTTTTTATGTGTCTGTTACCACTTTTACTCAGCTCTCAACAAACGGATTTCTTTCAACGATATGTCAAAAGATCACAAATTGTATCTAGTCGAAGACATTACCCTCAAAAATTGAAAACATTTCCCTCGTTCCCCGTAAATGGGGAAACCTCCAAAAAAATTACAAATTTAAAAATCGCTAATTTTAGACATTTTTTTTTTCTTAAAACTCTGCCATTACTTTTTCAAAAATGAACATATCAATATAATTTTTTTTTATAGATGCTTGATGTCTTTACCTATCATTTGATATATTTTTTTATAAATTTAACCCTTTACCTGCCCACAGAGGGGGATTCAAAATGAGAACTTTTTTACAAAAAATTTACTTTTTCAACTTAACTTTTGAAAGTGTTCCGGAAAGTCTGACACTATTATATATATCTTAAATTAAAGCTAATGTAATGTACTTTATTATGAAAAAAAAAATTTGACCTCTGGACTTGTCTTCTTGGTGAAAACGGCTACCGAATGCTATTTTTATGTGAAATTTCTCAATTTTATATTTTACATTTTTTACTTTAAAATTCTATAACTTTTTAAAAAATTTATGGATCAATACAATTTTTTCATGAGAAATAATATTTTTTAATAATCCCTTTTTCATTTGACATACTTTATCTTAATCAGGATATTAATAAGGAACTAGCAGATCATGTAGCTTTTGGAATAATACACCAATTTTTTAAAATTAAAGACTATCTAAAGATTTGCATCAAAGTGTTTTTTTTTTTATAGTGATTTTAATCACTGTCAGATATCATAATACTATATCCAACTATGCCACATCACCACTGTGCTGCAACCCCCTGTGCTGGGTTTTTTTATTCTGTATTCAGATATACATGTATATAAATACATTTACTTAGTACTATTGCAAGATTTTAGTTCAGGTAGATTTCACTCAGGTTGATAATAGAACCTTGAGAGGTATGCTACCTCACCCTTCAAAATGTAGATGGTTTAGTTTCAAGGGGGAGAAACTCCAAAACTTTATTTTTACCTACACTACTGCATTTACTATTCCTACAACATCTCTAATAAGATGAAACATTACAGTAAAAACAAAACATTTATGAAATATAATATTTTAGACTACTTAAACAAAAATTAATATTTAAATTATTAAAATATATTCTAATCTTATTTAATTGCATAGATATTTAATTAAATATAAAGATATCTTACCTTGTTATCTAAACCTTCTATGCCTGAATCTATATCATATACTTCATCTTTTACATTTTGAGATTTATGAACCCTAGAAATATAAAATTATATTTGTAACAAAATTTTAATTTTTATAAGAACCTAAAAATGTATTGGATTTGTGATAAAATTAAAAAAAATAATCAAAATGACACTTCTATAAAAATGAAAATTTAATAAAAAAATGTCTGCATTTTAAAATTACTGACTTTTTTAAAAAAAAACACTGGTCCAAATGAAATTTTAATATGGTATACTAGAGGCAATAATTTTTCATTTCATATATTTTATATGAATATTCAATGAAAAAAAAATTCAGAAAGGGTTTAAAAATTATTTTTTCAACTAAATTTTTGAAAATGTTCCATATTGACTAAGTGTTTTAAACCTATTTTAAAGCTTTTGAAATGAATTAAAATATAAAAGAAATTTTATCTGACAATTACTCTTTAACACAAAATCAGCCACTGTCAGATATCATCGACACTTGTGGTAGCTATGCTACGAACCCACTGTGCTAGATTTTTCAGATTGAAGTACTTACTTAGGTAGTTGAAAATATGATTCAGAATATGCACTATATTTATAATGAATAACATGCCAATTTGAAGAGTAATTTTGAATACATTTTTTTGTTAATAGTGAGCATTCTTTAATATCTTCTTCTGGAATTCCAGAATCTACTGTTCGATAACGCCTAGGTAATACAACATGCTGAAATATTTAAAAAGATTAATTTTTTTTCTAATATTTTACTTATAGGTAAAATTATAGAAATATTACTTTTGACTCGGAGAAAATAGGGATAATACAAATTTTTATGAATATTTTGTTTTTAGAAAATGGTAGCTTGCATTTATTGAGTAATTTAATTTAAATATCATAATTCAGATAATACAATTATTGGAGCTATAAAAATTTTTTTGTTTTAAAACATGTAGATATTTTCTAAGTTTTGAAATTTTCTCCTAGAAAGTTAATTAAATTCGGGAAATAAAATTTCCCTAATTTTTAAAATTTGAACTAATATTATTTTTTAATAAAAATTAAATAAAGTGGTTGAAATGATTTATATTATAGTAAAAGTATTACTTTTATGAATAAAAAAAATACACGTCAGAGTAAGTCAATATTTTTCAGAAGTTAAATATATATTTAATTATTTAGTTTAAAATAAAAAATATAATTGTTAAAAATACTTCCTTACTGATATATCATCCAAAGGGTAAATTAATAATTCTCTTTGAGGGTCATTTTGAAAAACTGTATGATTTTTGGCACAATAATCTTCGAATTCAATTGGATCCACTTGAAAAAATTTCAGCTGTGCCAAAAAAATATGATCATCAAAAATGTACTTAAGATTACAATACATAACTAGTCATAGGGAAAATAAATATTATTACATGGTTCGAATTTTCTCGAACAACCTGGCTTACACTCTCCCTTAACTGAGCAGCCATCCCTGGTCGACCAAGACCCTTAATAAATTTTCTCTCGCCCATATTAATATAAGTATTGTCGACTTTCAACTTCGCCGACGTGTTTAATTAATTAAATTACGAATACGGGTCATGAACCATTTTATTAAGAATTACTCCTAACCGGGATTATATATAATTATTTTAACATCACATGGCACTCCGAAAAATTATTAATTAAAAAAAAAATTACTGTTATTCGAAAAACATTTATTTTCAGTTCTCACACATTTCAATTATCGAATAATTTATTTGGAATTCCTAGAGCCGCGCACCGACCTCTTAACCGAGATAACCGTTTAGTGGTACTGATAACTAGTTAACCCATAGATAACGTCACCAAGCTAAACTATCAATGAATTCACGTAGGCAACGGCTGTCGAAGAACGTCGGTGTCGCCCGAAACGTTGCGTCCTCCATTGATAATTACCTTTACTTTTGATAACGGTATGTAATATTCTGTAATTTCGTGTAGTTTTAGCGATTCTTATTATAATTGTCCGAATGTGTGAAATTCAAAGTTCTGCAAAAATTATAAAATAGTATCTTTTTAACAATAATAACATTATATAAATTATATGACTGTGACACTTATTTAGCACTTTACATCATGCTCGTGTATGAGTCGTGACCCAGTAAGACTGTAATAGGAATCAGGCTAATTTATGTGCCTGATAATGTCCTCAAATTCAAATAGAATGATACAACCTAGAAATTTGGCGTCTATACTTATGAAATTACATGGTGCATTTGCTGAAGCAATAACTTCACCTAAGGCTGCGATTGATAAACGAACACTTGAGAAAACATGGAAACTGATGGACAAAGTTGTCAAACTCTGTCAACATTCCAAAATGAATCTGAAGAATTCTCCACCATTTATACTTGACATATTACCTGATACATACCAACGCCTTCGATTTATATATGCACAATATGAAAATGATTTATCTGAACTATATAATAATGAGCACTTCACTGTATTTATACTTAATGTTATAAGAAAATGCAAACAAGCCATTAAATTGTTTAAAGAAGGTAAAGAGAAAATGTATGATGAAAACTCACATTACAGGCGAAATTTAACAAAATTAAGCTTGGTATTTAGCCATATGCTTAGTGAACTTAAAGCAATATTCCCTAATCATCGGTTTGCTGGAGATAAATTTAGGATAACCAAAAGTGATGCTGCAGAGTTTTGGAAACAGAATTTTGGGTTAAGGTAAAAATTATTCAATCATTTTTTTACTTTAATACCTTTTCATTACTTAATGAAATTACATAAAGGATAAAAATTTAATAGTATTGTTAATTATTGCTTAATGTTTAAAACCATCAGTGAGGAAAAATTTAATTTTTGTAAATCTTAAGATAACATATTTTTTTCTGAATTCAAAGGTATCAAAATTTTAATTTTCCATTTTTGGCTCATAAGAGATTTTTTAAACCAAGCAACAAGTATTTTATGTATATTTGAGTATTATTTATAGAAATGTAGCATATTACTTTATTGGTTCACTTATCAATATTTATTATAAATCTAATAGTAAAAAGGATTTTTTTTAATGATATTCTACTATTTCATATTACAATTTATGTTTACAGTACTGTGGTACCTTGGAAAATATTTCGTAGTGCTCTCCACGAGGTTCATCCCATTGTTAGTGGACTTGAAGCTATGGCACTTAAATCTACAATAGATTTAACTTGTAATGACTACATATCAAATTTTGAGTTTGATGTTTTCACCAGGTAAATTAGTTTTTATTACTTCAAAACTGTTAAACTTCTTTTCTATTTATTTTTACAAAATTGATTGTATAAATTTGCAAAGTTTATTATTAGTACAAATTTTTATCTGGTACTCTTAAAAGTTTTAAACAAAAACTTTCCTTCATAATTTAATGTGTTAAATTTATAATATCCTAAAATAAAATATCAACAAAGACTATAATTTGAATAATTTCTTAAGAAAAAATTTTGTATTTAATGATATGTTACCTTTCCAAATATTTTTTATATGAAATTTTGTTTAAGATTTTAAATTTATTTATATAAATATCTTATATTTTAGTTAAAATTATTAAATATTGTTTAGATTATTTCAGCCATGGCCAACGCTATTAAGAAATTGGAAAATATTAGCTGTAACTCATCCTGGATATGTAGCATTTTTGACTTATGATGAAGTAAAAGCACGTTTAGAGAAATTCATAACAAGACCAGGAAGGTATGTACTGCAATTACTAATTTTCTTTTTTATTACATATAATATTAATGCATAAAAAGACTGAAATAATAATTTAATTTTAATATATAATTATAGAATTAAAATTTGTAATTTAATTTTAGTTTAGTTAATAATTGCGCTAAAAGAATCACCTTGTACATGAAAGCGTAATATTTGTTACCTTGTTAAATCAAATTTCAAATTGAGGAATCATTTAAAAACAAATTTTAACATGCCATTTTATTATAAAAATAAAGATTAATATAAAGATAAAAATATAATATTTAAAATTATGTATTGTTTTACTTATTTTAGCTATGTTTTTCGTTTGAGCTGCACAAGATTAGGTCAGTGGGCTATAGGATATGTAACAACTGAAGGTGAAATTTTACAAACCATTCCTCAAAATAAATCTTTATGTCAAGCTTTGCTTGATGGTGCCCGTGAAGGATTGTAAGTTAATAGGGTTTTTTTTTTGTATTTTAATAAATATATAAGGTGATTGATTAATTATAAACTACTCAATTAATTATAAAATAAATATAATATTAAATAAGTTGATAATTATTTAAAAAAAAAATACAATATTAAAACAAAATATTTAAATAAAATATAAAACATAATATGTTGGTTTTTTGTCTTAGATATACTACTTGATTTATCGAAAACTAATTTCTTTTTATTGTAATATCTTATAACTTATAGAGTTTATAGTAACTTTATATAATGAGAATTGATCACTAGTGGCTAATATTTTTTAAAATTAATATTTTAAATTTATTTATAATTTTTTAAGCCAACTTTATTTTTTTAAATTGTTATATACATATGTAACTAGTTTATAAAATAATAAAATGACAGGTCGATATCAACAAATAATTAGTATTTCAACATTTATTATACCTTTTACAATACCATCCAGATTTAGTTATAAAATTTAATAATTAGTTAAATAATATATGAAAAAAAGAATAGTTACTAGAAATGTGAAATGATAGTATAATTGATTATTGCTGTGGCTTATATTAAACCTAATAAATCAAAAATATAACTAGTGAACTTTTATAATTTGTATACAGGGTGTGATCATTAAGGATAAGACATACATTTTTTGGGAAATAATAAAAAATTATAAATTTTTGTAATAAAAAATATTATTTGGTTTAAAAAATTCTACAATTATATGTAGTTAAATAATTTTTTTTTCATCTCTACAAGGGTAAAAATCTTAACATTAACTCTCTTAAATTAGAACCTTTATTTTTACCTTGATAATGTGATAGAAAAAAATGTATGAATAACTTTGTTTTTATAATTTTTTTTATCTGATAAACTGTTTATTTTTTATAATTCTGAATCAGTTGGTCCATTGCAGCCTTCTAGAACTTACCTTTTAGCCTCATTGGAATTTTCATTGCATAACACACTAGGCACTTCTCTCCTCTTCATCCATTCTTACTTAATCCTGTGTTTTACATTCTCATCAATACTATCATTCTTTTGTTTAACTGATCCTAAATACTTGAAATTGTCCACCTCTCCTAGCACATCCTTCCTTATTGTCACTTATTCCAACTGGTTCTTTGTTATTGATGTTTCTCCTCTTATTATTTTGTTTATTACCTATTCCTAAATCTTTATTCTATGAATCATAAGCTTTATGGCTCTATAATTTCCAAACTCCTGTATATCTCCTTTGCCTTTAAATATTAGCACCATAATACTATTTCTCCATTCTGTTATCATTTTTCATTCTAATAGGATTTTATTGTAACTTTTTTTCAACTACTTAGTGTAGTTTGTTTGATTTATTTTTGTATTCTGTTGCGTTAAAGTCGTATTATAGAAGGTTGCTGGAAATTCTTCAGTTTAATTTCCTGTGATGTATTATTTTATATATTTTTTGTTTAGCTATCTATACCCTGATGGTCAAAAAGGAAATCCAGATTTGTCTAATGCTGTTGAACAGAGTCCAGAAAATCACATTAGAGTGACTCATGAACAATATGAAATGTACTGTGAAATGGGATCTACTTTTCAAATTTGCAAAATATGTACTGAAAATGATAAAGATGTACGAATTGAACCATGTGGTCACTTGTTATGTACCCCTTGCCTAAACTCTTGGATGGTAATATATATTTTTTGATTTATTAATTTCATTAAAAAATACAAATTAAAAGTAATTTTAAAAAATATTTTGATTTATGTGTGAAAAAAATGTTTGTGCAATTTTTACACTTTTTTTTCATTCAATATAATGTATTTAGATATTTGTTTTGCACAATTGCTGTGAAATAATCTCTTTGTTAATTGTGTATATAATAGTTGTAAGAATAAAAATTAAATAGATATTTTTTGTTTTACCCTAACAACTACATTAAAGTTAAATTACTACAACAGTTTTCATTAAAGGAAAATATTTAAAAATTTTATTAGCATGGACGATAGAAATATTGTAATTTATAATTTTAATATACAAGATATTATATAATATAATATAATATTGCAATATTAAAATTAAAATTTCTCTTTTGAATAATAACAAAGAAAATAGCTACTTATATATTTTATTAATAATTTGTACTATTTTATTAGGAATCTGATGGCCAAGGATGTCCTTATTGTCGAGCTGAAATTAAAGGTACTGAACATGTAGTTGTTGATCCCTTTGATCCTAAAAGAATCAAGTACAAATCAATTCCAATTTTACCTGTTATACAACAACATTCTGATGATGATGAAGAAGATGATGATGATATTGAAATCAAATAATAAAACTAAGATTATTTAATATTATAATGTAAATTGTGTAAAATTGTTTTACTGTGATAGTTGTTGATATATCATGTAAGTTTTTCACTCAATGAGAACAAAATTATTATTATTCTTACTATCAAACTTAATGTGATATTGTTGACCACCTTTTAAAATGGTATTAATAATCCCACAGCTTCTAAAAACTCCTTCCCTAGTAATGTAATAAAAGCATAATGATAAAAAAAGTATTAGGTAATTATATTTTTATAAAACTTGCAGAAATCATTCCTCATTAAACTTAAATATGTGAACCTTTTTAAAGTATTATTTATAATATGTATTTGTAAATCATTATTTTGCAATTAGCTTTTGCTATTCTATTCTCTAGGGACATATATTTGCTAATTAAAAAATGAGCATTATTAAATAACTGACACTACTTTCAACAAACTATTTTTAACTATTAAGTTATACTTTAACTTTTGCCCTCATTTATTTAAATAATTTTACTATATATTATTATTTTTTTTTATTCAATTATGATTACTTAAGTTCAATAATAAAATTGTATTAATAAAAGTAAAGTGTTAATTATCAAATGTTATAATTGTAATACCATCACAAGGTAAATTTTTATTTCTAGTCTTTAAGCAATCTAGTCTAGTTAAAAAAGTTATTTTTGGATAATGTTATGTACAAACTTATATATTTTCATTATTATTAATGTATCATTTATACATTGCTATTCATAAATTTGTATTGATTTTTTAAATCTTTGATATAATTAGCAAAAATATTTCATGTAATGTTATATTTCAAATATTTATCTTCTACCTATCAATCATTATTTATATGCTAGCAAAAATCAAATAAGTGTTATTTTACCTAACAAAAAATATCATTATTTATGAATTTTTAGATATTAATTGTTTTTAATGATAATTTTAGAAATGAAGTCTTACTATACATTTATGAGCAATAAATATTCAATGGTAATTTTAATTAGTTCTTGTAAGCTTTATTAATGAATTTTACTCTTATGTTTATGTTATAATTTTAGTAAAATAAAAAAATTAAGCCTCTATTAAAGTTTGTAACAGGGTTATACCATCTAAGGATATAGTTATATTTGATATACTTCCATTGCATAAAAATTGACTTAATTTTGTAATATAATTCTGTATAATGAACAATATTCCATTATACATTAATAATTATAGCAATAATTCAATAATTATAAATATGACAATGACATGAAGTTCTATATATTTTTGTATTATATTTTTATAACACATATATTAAGAAAAATATGTATTTATTTATAAAGTTCTGTACAAATTGTATCTGTAAATAAATTTATTTAGCTAATTGTGAATTTATTATTATTTATTTGAATAATCATAATAAAAATTGTATCTTCACCATATAAATGTTAGTTGTGACAGATTTATTATCCTAATCTTTCTTCGATTTTATCACATACCACTAATTGAAGAAAAGCAATTATAAATGAAAGGTTAATTGTAACCTTGTTTTTATTAATCAAATACAAAATATCAGTATAAGTGAAACTGTAACATAGTGGGATCCATATATAGACTAATGGTTTTTTTATCTATATATATTATGTGAACTTTAATTTAGTAGTGTTTTCCATTCACTATTTTTTGTCTTTTGGAGAATATGATACCAATATCTCCTCCGTAATTTTGTTAGTGAACCGGCCTTGATTTCACTTAAGACATGATTAATATTAAACATATCTTAATCGAAGAATTATTTTTCTTTGTAAGTACTACAGCGGGGACAGTGTTTGTAGTTCAAAAGAATAGTAAAATATGTAGCATAACAACATGGGGTGATACAACCAGGTGACTATAGCTGTTCAGCGATAAGTATTTATCAGAACATGAATTGTTAACATCATAATTGTAAACATGTAAAATAAATTTTTAATTTTAAAATTCATTTTTATAAAAGTTTAATTTACAAAGTCGAGACCAGAACATTTAAAATTGTTTATTTAGTTTTATAATAATGTTGAAGGGAAATATACTCATAAGTAAATAAACGTTCTTGTTTTTTTATTGTATTTATTTTAATATTAATTAATTTCAAATATCTTATCATTCTATAATGATGAACTTTGAACTAGTGGTGGGGCGTAATATTACCTGAAGAGCAACCCTGTTCATTGTTAGATTTAGACTGTGAATCATAATTGGTTTTGTATCGATATTTCTGATTCATGTTTAGTATGCTTTGTACTATACTACTATATTATTTTATTCTTAATGACTGGTGTAGTTATATACAGCAAAATGCCTGCTGCATTTAGTTCAGATAATGCATATTTCAACTTTACTTTTAAATGGTAAATTAAATTAAATCAATTTTTATAAAACTAAAATTTCTACTGTAGAGAAAATATGACTAGAAGACGTGCTCCTAAGTTATCAAAAAAAAGTAGAAAGTGGATTCTTTAAAAGAAAGAAAGTAGTAAACGTCAAGGTAAAATGACCAAAATACACTGGACAGTCCAGGAGTAGACAAATTTAACTGTCAATCAGTACATTTTTTTTGTCAAGATTATGAAATATCTTATTTTAATAAAAAATAAAGTTGAATTAATGTTGTACAAAATAAAGTTTGTTGTGGTAACTTAATAAGTTTGAGTTCATAAATAATGTATTCAAATAATAATATAATGAGTCTTTCAAAAAAAAAAAACATGCCTACACAAGTTTTTATCACGTTTTAAATTTACTGCATAAATGTGTTATTAAAAAAAAATATATTAGATACTTCGTTGTCTAATGTATTAGGAATATATCATATGGCAAACCTAAATATCAAGTAATTTTTATAGTATACTGATGGATAAAGTGAGCTTTAAGTGTATACTTGCGCGAAAAAAACCATAGATGTAGTCTTTATAAGTCCACTTTTTTTGAAAAATTTTTTTTTTCAATGTTATATTATACAACTGAAATTACTATTTTTTTAAATTTTGAAGTCTTCCTAACAATGGACATCTAAACTTAGATTTATCAAGAAAAACAAATTTTAAATTTAGAAAATTTAACAGATTTTTACGGTGTTTGTAACTCAAGATATATACATTATTTACAATTCTATGAGCTAACTATAATTAAACAAGTATAGGTATGTAGATTTTGATTTAATTAAAATTATAAATACGAAAAAGAAAAAAAAATAATAATTTGTATACATAAAACATATTACAAAATCTTCAGTGTATAACAGATTTAGATAATACATATTTTTAAAGTATTTATTTTATGTATATAAGTCAAGAGAGGAAAGCATAATTATAATGATTAAAACTAGTGATGGGAAATATCGAATAGAAACTATCGAACTATTCGATAGTTGTCCACTATTCGAACTATTCGATAGTCATTCAAAAAATATTCGATAGTTACACAATATATTCGAATAGTTTTAAAAACTATTCGATAGTCTATTCGAATAGTTTATGCCAAAAATAAACTATTCGGTTGTATAAAAACTATTCGAATAGTTATTCGATAGTTTATGCAAAAAGTAAACTATTCGGTTGTATAAAAACTATTCGAATAGTAATTCGATAGTTTAAAATATTCGAAAATGCCCATCAATAATTAAAACGAAAATTTTTATCAAAACGTAATCAAAAAATGAAAATATTAAATCGAAACTATATGGTGTCATTAATATTGGGAACCCAAACCTAATATTTGAATTAATGAGCTAAAAAAATAATTTCCTGTGTCGGTAAACATAGTGATGCGGGACGAATTTTTTTTATTAAGCTAAATCCATCTGTCCGCCTTATGCACAGCTGAAAAGCTAATGGTCTTACTCTGCCGATTTTGTTTAATGACACTACACATGATTACTCTTCTCTTACTGAAGGATTTGTGAAAACATTACAAAACGTATCTAATCAATAGTAGCTCTCAGTGCCATGATTTTGAAAAATTCTCCTCAATCCTCATATAAAAGTAAATATCTCAAAAAGTTGCAGTTGTCATTAAAAGAGTTAATGTTGTTATTTTTGGTTTTCATTTATCAGGGGATGTCTTGATTTTGAAATGTTTGCATAATAGAATATTTAAATCATTCAAATATTAAATATTTACGATTAAAAACTAATGACGTTCTAACAACGTGTCTTCTATGAAAATTGGCCTCTAAATTCTATAATCATGTAGTTTTTAGTGGATATGATGGAATTTTTTTTTTAATTTGTTAGTTATAAAATGCATCGAAACTTTTTCCGATAGTGATTTTAATTTTTGTAAATATCAATATTAATTTAAAAAAATGCTTTAACTCCATTACACGCTGGATTGAGCTCAACTTTTTATTTTTTTTTTTTTGATAAAAAATGTCCCATTTTATTAATTAAAATCTGATAAATTGAAATTTTTGAGGTGTCAAAACATTACTCTAAATATATTGCTAAGGGCATCAACATCTTAAATACGCCTATGCTAATTGAAAACTAATCCATTTATCACATTTCTTTTTTAATTACTGTGTTCAACTTCCTCTGAATCCTTGCGAAATAAGTCTAATAATATATTCTGTTATAAAACTTTCCCAAGAATAAAATCCAAAATATATTACTGACCTTGATTAATTCATTTTTTATAGTTTTTACCTAAGTATCAGTGTCTTTATACAGGATTGTTAAGTATATATGAGAGACCCTGATTATAATTTAGTAAAATTTTAATAAAATACGATCAATGGCATTCCATTAAGTGATTTCCAAAAATCATAAAAAATATTAAATAATATTAAACTATATATTGATTAATCTAATCACTAGGGTGCGGATTAGTATGTATTTACATATTAGTCACAAATAATAAAAATTGAATGATTTCTTTATAAAAATATGTTACAGGACTATCTGATTATTTTAAGCTATGGTTGATGTTACATATTTTTACATATTTGAACTTACTTACATATTATTACATAATTTACTTAAATTACATATTTTTGTTAAATATTCAGCTACTTAATAAATTAGCAATTTATCGTCGTTTTATATTTTGTGTTGTTATCTTCTCTAGTCAAGCCCGCTAATAATCGTCGTAAGTATCAACTTCTCAGCGCTTTCAAGTTACACAACACATAGGAACCGCAATTCATAAAAAAAATAAACTCGGAAAGACAAAAAAAAAACAACAATTCATCACCTCATGCACTTCATGCACTTCATCGTCCAGTAAATCAACTTTCAACAATGACTTATGCACAGCTTTAATTAAAGCAGATATACCTTTGCAAAAACTCAATCTTGATTTTCGTCAATTTCTCAAAAAAAAAAAATAAATAAGCAATAAAATACCTGATGCAAGCACTCTAAGGAAGAATTATTTACCTGACTTATACGAGAAAACTTTGAATGATATAAGAAAAAATATTTCAAATGGACCTATCTGGGTTTCCATGGACGAAACCACCGATGTAGAAGGAAGGTACATAGGAAATATAATTGTTGGTAAGTTAAATTCATATTGTGCTTCAAAGACATATTTATTAAATACTGAAGTTCTTAAAAAATGTAACCACTCAACAATTGCTCGTTTTGTCAACGATTCTTTGTGTATCCTATGGCCGAATGGTATTTTGCATGGTATAGGGTGCTGCGATATGGTGAAAGATGGAACAGCTTTAAATGTATTTTATCCTAAATTAATTCACGTGACCTGCCTTGCACACGCTTTCCATCGTGTCGCAGAAATAATAAGATCAGAATTTCCCGAAGTTGATTTTTTGATATCAACTATTAAAAAAATTTTCCTGAAAGCACCCAGTCGTGTACATATATTTAAAGAAAATTATCCTCAAACACCTTTTCCTCCAGAGCCGGTGATAACTCGCTGGGGTACTTGGTTACAAGCTGCTGCATATTACTGCGACAATTTTAGTGTCATTGAAGATGTGATTTCAAAACTCGAAATAGATGCCGTTTCAGTAAAAAATGCAAAAAAGTTAATTAAAAGTACCTCATTAAAAAATAATTTAGTATACATATCCTCCAATACTACATTCCTTGCCAATTCTATTACGAAACTTGAAACTCAAAACTTGTCCTTGGCTGATAACCTGGGCATTGTCTACGACACCGTCAAAAAATTAAAAGAATCCCCTGGGCAGGTTGGAATAAAAATTAAGAATAAAGTTGAGCAAGTACTTAGTAAGAACTCTGGTTTAAAGACAGTTGAAACTATTGCAAACATTCTCAATGGCAGTGATACGCAAACTTCTTTTGAATTTAGTCTTGCTGATTTAGGGGCTTTTAAATTTTCTCCTATTTCTTCCGTCAACGTGGAAAGATCTTTTAGCCGCCACAAAATCATACATCGTTCTAATCGACGTCAATTTACCTTAACAACCTAAAGAAGTACATGATTGTCTATTGCTTTGTTGACGACGAAGATCCTAGCTAATATTTGATTGGAATGTATTTTTTAGGTACATATTATTATATTTTGTATTCTGAATGTATTTTTTTAAGAATAAAAACATTTTTTTTAAATATTACGTATTTTTAGTTGCATATTTGGATAAAAATAAATACATATATATGTACATATTTTTTAAATTTTAATACATATTAATCCGCACACTACTAATCACCATATACTCAAAGTCGAATAATTTTTTTTTTCGAGTTAGCTAAAGACTTACAGCTGTAGGCCTTATAAAATTTAAGGTATATCCATTTTGTTCTTATCTGGCATAAGATTTTTAATTTCAAGTTTTTTGTGTAAACAAAATACACATATTAATTGATTTTTAAGATATTCAATTTACATTAATATTAAAAAATGTTTATTAAAATCTTTCTATTCGTTTTCAAAATTAAAAAAATCTAGGCATTATATGTTTTTTCAAACAATAAAAATATGAAATATTTTTCATTTTTATGTGTATTATTATTATATGTTAGCATTCTGGATCATATTTAGATTATTTTATCCCTTAAAACATTTTATAGGCGGATATTTTGCAATTTACGTGTATGCTAATTCTCTGAGTTAAAAAAATCATTCCACTTTTACAGGACTGTAATAATTAACATAAAAGGCCCTTCAAATTTTAAACTGATCCTTTACCGTGTTACTATAGCTATTGTGTTACCGTGATTTTTGAAAATAATTTTTTATTGATAACAGATTTTTGAGGTTATCCGGGTTATCGGCATTCGGCTACTTCATATATTTTTTCTGAAAGAAAATAATTATTGTAAAATTTAAATATATAATTTAGTTTTACGTTTAAGATAGAAACTCTATCTTAAACTTCTTTTTTTTTTTAAATAAAGATTAGGAATCATGCATGCTATTTGGCCTAGGTATCGACATATTTATTGTAATGCAGTAAGTATCAAATAATATATTATATATTATAGTATTATATAATTGTTATTTAAATAAACTAAAAATCATTTACAGCAGTATTTTAGGTATTATTCGTCAACACCACCTCAGAGACCTAATTTTTTTATGAAACTAATAAATGATATAAGAGATGAAATGGCTAAGAATAAAGAAATGAAAAAGAATCTAGAACAATTTCGTGCTGAAAAAAAAAAATTGGAACAATCTGATAATTTAATTAAAGCTAGGTGAATACATTTTTAATGTAAGTTAGTAAAGTATACTTTGACAAACATAATTAAATAAGCTGTTTTTAGACAGAAATTAAATAATTTAGAATCAGAAACATTCAAAGTAAGCCAGCAAGCTAAAGATGCAATGGGTGGAGTTTTTACTAAAGTTAAAACTATAGTAGATCAAGCAAGTCAGTCTGATTTAGCCAAGAAAGCAGGTATTTTTCAAATAAAATGTATCAGATAATAATTTAATAGTAATAAAACTTATTTTTGAAGGCCAGTTAGGAGAAAATATTGGCAAAACTGTAGTTGAAGGTAGTACAAGACTAGGACAGTCTGAACCCATAAAAAAACTTGAAGCCATTTCTGAACAAATTGATGGAGAAACATCTTTAAATTCACAAGTTAGTAATTAATGGCATAATAAAACTAAATAAAAAGATTTATATTTAAAATTAAATTTTACAGGTATATAGACCACCTAAAACATTGAGAAAACGATCAGATGTAGGTCTACAAGATACAATTATAGTGAATGAAACTGAGACTGGTGTCACCATCCATAAAGATTCAAAGTAGTTATATAACATGTTTACTTAAAAATTGATTGGGTTCTTAATTATTTTCTATTTATTTATTATTTACTACTATTAGATTGTGGGAAAGTTGGAAAAAATTTAAATCTGAAAATCCATTTATGCAAAAATTATCAGATATTAAAGATCGTTACGACGATAGTGATCATGTTTTAGCACGAGCCACTCGCTCAGTTACTAATACATTTTCATCAGTTTTTCAAAATGCTGAAATGTCTGATGTAGTTACAACAATATGTCAAGTTGAACCTGATTTCACTCTAGTAAATTTTATTCGTCAATGTGAAACTGATATAATACCAAATGTACTCGAAGCTATGGCTAGAGAAGACTTAGAAATTCTTAAAGACTGGTGTTTTGAAGCTCCTTATAGAGTTATTTCTCATCCTATTAATGAACATCGTCAAAAAGGACATCAGACGTATTGCAAGGTTCTCGATATTCATAATGTTGATGTAGTCACTGGGAAATTAATGGAACATGGACCTGTTTTAATAATATCATTTAGTGCTCAGCAAATTATGTATATAAAAGATTTAAATGGTTTAATTGTAGAAGGTGATCCTCACACAGTAATTCGTGTAATGTATACTTGGGCAATGTGTAGAGACATTAATGAAATGAATCCCAAAGCTGCATGGAAACTCTTAGACATTGCTGCTAACTCCACCGCACAATTACTATAATTTATGTTTATTATTTATAAAATGTTGTACTTTTATCAAAAAAAATTGTTTTTGAATATTATATCAGTTAAGAAAATTATTATTTGTTTTTTTAACTTACAGGGAACTATAATTTATACAAAGGTGTCCAAAAATGAATATGATTGCTTTTTTTTTTTTGAAAAGGGAATAATTATGAATCATATGGAGATTATACTAGGTTGTAGAGCAAAGTTTATAAAGCAAAGTTATAACTAGTTAGATGTTATAATGTTTATTATTTTTTGAAATATTTAAGTAAAACCTATTTGTATACTTCTCAGAGTTTATAAAATACATACATCTGAGCGACGTTTTTGCTAGTCAAATCTGTTTGTAATTATTTTTATATAGATCAATGGCTCTATAAACAATAGGAATGTACATGTGGATTTTTTGCAGTTTTGTGACTGTTTTAAGATTTTAGTAACTTTTTTTGTAGGGGAAAAAACTAACCTTGTCCTGACTTATTGCTGATAGGCTATTAATAGTATATTACGTCGTATAAGTCAATAATTTAAAAGGGATGTTTTACCAGTATTTTATGCCATCCAACACGATTGTTATTATAGCTTTTTACAACGTAGTTCTTGAAACTTAAGACAAACAAATGACGAAGCGTCAAAAGTTGCACCAAAACAGTGCTTTCTCTTATTCTTTTAATCTCATTACAACATTAAAAGAAACATATCCCAGTCCTCTTATTCATTAAATCTTTATCTATGACTCAACTATTTTCTTAATTTATGAAATATCAAGTAAAACAAAACTTCGAGGGGTACTCCAAACAGCTCCCACAAAAATCCTTTTCAAAAGAAGTGGAGAGTAAGGCAACACAGTGGGGACGTGACATAGTTTGGTCCAGTATAGATTTAATTTGACAGTGATTAAAATCACTATCAAAAATACTTCGATGCAATTCTGTCGATAGTGTTTAATTTGAAAAATTGGTCGATATCATAAGCAACATCAACTTCTATTTCCTTATTTATATCCTGATTACAGTTTTATGTTGTAAAAGTGTAATATATAAATAAATATTTATTTTAACCATTAAATATAGTATGAAATTGATATTTAATAATTTAATATTGTAACTGTTACGGAGAAACTATAGAGTAGTAATTATTTTAATGGAAAACAAAAGTTGAAGGTCTTGATGCAATACTAAAAAAAAATATTGTAATTTTTTATAAATGAATCGATGATTGCAGAAACGACATGAGTCAATTTTTTAAAACTTCTGGATAATTGATAAAAAGTGTATAATTTAAATAATTCTGAATAAAATTCTTATTTAAAAATGAATACTTGTAGAAATATATTATGCACTGATTATACATAATTTGTTTTTCCACTCAACACATAAAAACAGACGACTAGCATATGTTTTTGCTAATATCTAAATTTCACAAAAATGCGACTCGTGTCGTTTTCGCAATCATCAATTCAAATAAACTTACTAGTCTACGAGGAGTTTTTATCCGAGACCAAAGTGTACTTTTCTAAACCCATTATTGCGCCGATTTCAAATCTGAAATTAGAGTTTCGCATATAGCCTAAATATAAACAAAATCCTTCTAATTAATGTAACAAATATTTATGTATGATTATTAAGTTACGTATGAATAACCAATAAATATATTTTAATTAAAAATATACGTAACAAGCACAGTACATCATATGCAGTATATCAATAGAAATAATTATTGAATATTAAAAAATTAAAAAAAGTAATTTTTAACTCATTGAAATAGACGAAACCATTCAAAAATTAATAAATTTAATATTATGAATACCTTTTCAACTTTTTATCATAATGAATTTTGAAGAAATAATTTTTAATTAAAAATATTTTTTCGATAATTTTATTTTAAACAATAAAAATTATTATTTTACTAAATAATGGTAAAGTAAGTAAAGTTTAATTATTTGTTGATCATTTAATCATATATGATTATCGATATATATTTTTAATTACTAAACTCATGCAACTTATGTTTATCGAATAATATAGCTTCATATACACCATAGAATTAATAATACATATCTATAAAAAAAAATAGGTTATTTTCTTCAAGTTTATTAAAATATTTTATGATATTTAAAAAAAAATTCAGTGCCAAGGCGGGTGGTTCGAATCTTGTAACCCAGGCGTGAAAGACACAAATGTTACCGTCCCAACACCATATGTCGTATTATTCTCTTAATAAAAATGATAATTTAGCTTAAAACTTAAAAGTTCACACTTTAAAGTTATTTTTCTCGACTTCAAAGAAATAAAAAAGATAAAATATGTTTAACTTTCAATGCTATGTCTATTAGTTTTATATAATATTTAAGAAAACCAGGGTATTTCCCTTATAAGATATTTTAAAACAAAATAAATTACAAAATCAAAAATTAAAAAAAAAATAGCATATTTTTGAATATGGTAGTCATTTTCACCGTGAATACAAAATAAAGTCCGAAAATTTTTTTCCATAATAACGTATATTACACTAGCTTTAATTTAAGGTATAAATAAAAGTATCAGTATTTTTGGAACACTTTCCGAAGTTAAGTTGAAAAAGTTGTCATTTTGAATCCCCCCTGGGGGTAGGTAAAGGGTCAAATTTATAAAAAAAAATATACCAAATGATAGGTAAAGACTCATGTGTCTATAAATAAAAAATCATATTGATTTGGTCATTTAAAAAAAAATTATGGTAGTTTTAAGTAAAAAATATTTTTTAATTTGGAAAATAAACGATTTTTAAATTTTTTGGAGATTTTCTTTATTTACGGGGAACGAAGGAAATTTTTTCAATTTTTGAGGGTAATTTCTTCGACTAGATATGAATTTTGTTCTTTTGACGTATTGTTGAAAGAAATCGGTTCGGTGAAAGCCTCGAAAAAGTGGTAACAGACACAAAAAATAAAAAAATTTTTTTTTAAAATAACCCATTTTAGTAAAGTTAATGACTACTCAGCTTTGCATCAAAGCATAAATTAGGTTAAACAAAACATTTTGTATCGAAATTTTACTCGTATTATTTTTAACATATTATAAATTATCAATCCAACTAAAATTATAATAATTTGAAAAAAAAAAGTTCTTTTTTTTATTAATAAGTATAATTCCAAAAAATTAGAGGTGATAGAATAAATCTAATTACATATTAAATATCAGCATGAAAAATTGGTATAAGGAAGTATATTTTCGACTGTGATGAAAATCCCTTGTAGATCTGTGTATTTATTCATAATTAACCAAAATTTATATCTTGAAAAGTTGTTCATCAAGCCCTTTAATTTTAATACACGGTTGTCATAGATGTAATGAAATATACAACTACTGTATAATTTTTTATAATTTCTTCGTAAAAATTATAACATTAAATTATTCAATATAAATTTCAAACTAAATTTAAAATTCAGAGTTATAGCAGTATTTAAATTTTAATGAAAATACCTTTTTTCACGGTAGCGCAAGATACTGAAAATGTTTATATACAGAGTGATTTTTTTATCATAACCCACTCAATTACTAACAGAGTAATAATAATTTAAACATTTTTTTTATTTGTTATTTTTAGTTACACATTATTCTTGAATTATTAACTATGTAATACTGTTTAAGTTCATTCCTTATGCCTTGTAAGAATGTCAACTTAGTTTTTTTAAATGAGAACACATATTTTTAATTCAATAGTAAATGGCATTTGAATTTTTAGTATATCTTTATTTGTTTATTAGATATAAACACTTAAGGTTTCAAATTTTTGAGTTAATATATACAGGGTGTTCAGTAAGTCAGGAAACTGGTTACTGAACACTCTGTATAATACATAAGGGTTTACAAATACAGGTAGCTAATTGATTTTTTATGACATCGATATTAGCAGGTACGCAGCATTGTTATTATCAATGGTAGTAAGGCACTTTGTTGTGAGTTTATAAATACACTAACTGACAATACAGAAAGTATATCTATTGATAGTCATAATTGATAATAAACAATCCGTGACTGTGACAGAATTGTCATAAAAATCCAATTAGCTTTCAGTATTTAAAATCCCTTGTGTATTATACATGTATATTAACTCAAAAATTTGAAATTTTAAATGTTTTTATCTAATAAACTAATAAAGTTATATTCAAACGCCATTTACTATTGAATTAAAAATCCTAACATTTTATTAAATTAAAAATATGTGTTCCCATTTAAAAAAACAAAGTTGACACCCTCACAAGGCATAAGGGATGAACTTAAACAGTATTACATAGTTAATAATTCAAGAATAATGTGTAACTAAAAATAACAAATAAAAAATGTTTAAATTATATATATTCTGCAAGTAATTGAGTGGGTTATGATAAAAAAATCACTCTGTATATAATTATTTAGGATTCATTATTTTTATTGGTTTCAGTATATAAGTTTATGCCCCTAGCATTAAGTTAGAATACATTTGTTATAGAAAATAATCATTCATTAAACTTATAATATTTGCAAAATTAAACATCATGCATTATAGGCAAAATATTATTTTAAGTGAATACTCATAATATCATATTATTCTAATAATAGTGTAAAATATGAATTATATTACATTATAGAAATAAGCATAGTGGTTAATGATTTATTTTAATGGATAAAAAAGAATGCTCAGTGTCAAATTACTCATAAACATAAAAATAAATACACTGACTTTTCAGTAATTTTTTGTGGCTTTTGAGTTTAATATTTTTTAGTTTTTAAATACATAATATTTTTAAAATAGTTTTAATTTTATTTAATAAAAATAAATCATACATATTTATTAAAGTATTTCAGCATATACATTGGGATAAACATTTTAATTTATCCTAAGAACATTAATCATACAAAAATATCTAGCACAATAGTTAAAAATATACTAAAATGTTGCAGAAAAATTGTAATATAAATAATTATTTATATTCTGTTTTTTTTATTTATTCAATACAGCTATTCTTTTATTTAATTAATATATTTGAATATTTATAAATTATTTATAAATTAAAAATATAAAATGCTAGAGATAAAAAGTAATATAATAAGATAATATATTGTAGTAAATAGCCATTGCAATTAATTTTTTATTTAGATTGATAAAAAGAAAACCCAGCACAGTGGTGACGTGGCATAGTTGGATCAAGTATAATGATATCTGACAATAATTAAAATCGCTATAAAAAAAAAGCTTCGATGCAAATCCTTTGATAGTGTTTAATTTTTAAAAATTGGTGGATTATTCCAAAAGCTATATAATCTGCTATTTCCTTATTAATATCCTAAATGAAAAAGCGATTATTAAAAAATATTATTTCTCATAAGAAAATTGTGTTGATCCATACACTTTTCAATAAGTTATAGCATTATAAAGTCAAAAATGTAAAAAATAAAATCGAGAATTTTCACATAAAAATAGCATTCGGTAGCCGTTTTCACCAATAAGACAAGTCCAGAGGTCAAATTTTTTTTTTCATAATAAAGTACATTACATTAGCTTTAATTTAAGATATACAGAGTGTTCAGTAAGTTAGGAAACAGTTAAATTGTTACAAACAATGAGTACAATAGAAATTCGTGTCTTTATTTACTGAACACTCTGTATATAAAAGTGTCAGACTTTCCGGAACACTTTCATAAGTTAAGTTGAAAAAGTAAATTTTTTGTAAAAAAGTTCTCATTTTGAATCCCCCCCTGTGGGCAGGTAAAGGGTTAAATTTATAAAAAAATATACCAAATGATAGGTAAAGACATCAAGCATCTATAAAAAAAAATTATATTGATTTGTTTACTTTTGAAAAAATAATGGCAGAGTTTTAAGAAAAAAAAAATTTCGAAAATTAGCGATATTTAAATTTGTAATTTTTTTTAAGGTTTTCCTCATTTAACGGAAACGAGGGAAATTTTTTTAATTTTTGAGGGTAATGTCTTCGACTACATATAATTTGTGATCTTTTGACGTATCGTTGAAAGAAATCAGTTCGATGAGAGCTGAGAAAAAGTAGTAAGACACAAATTATAAAAAATACATTTTTTTAAATAACCCATCATAGTAAAATTAATGCTTTCTAAGCTTTGCATCAAAGCTATTACTCAGTGTTAAAATGTTCATAAATAAAAAAATAAATCATATAAATTTATTAACTATAGCAAATACATAAAAATTACGTCAAGTTATATATGATTAAAGATTTAAAAACTCTTATTTACACTTAAAAACAGTTAAATATTATCATTTTTAATAGTTCTCTAAGAAAAATAAAAAGTTTACAACTGAACTTTATCAATTGTTTTTACAAATAATATGAAATCGTTTACTATTGTAGCATTATTGTTCATCTTGTTCGATGCATTTTTATTGACATCGTGTAATGAGCAGAACGCTATTAATATATTGAATTCACTTCTTAAGTCAGAAAAATGGACATTCGACTATGAATACAAATGGTATGATATCGGAAGTTATACAGGCTATGAAACAATTGGTTTACTTATAACTGATTCTGGACAGTAAGAATATTGTTACCGAAAGAAATTTACGTAACAAAATAATATTGAGTTCTGAATTGTTAACTTATGAGTACGCGAAAATTCTACATTGCCTTTGTATCATGTTAAGTATTATGAAAAAAGAATGGTATAGCAAAGCTTATATTTCTGACAAGATTAAAAAACAACATAAAGAAACATTTATATTAACTTTCGAAAAAGTAAAGAGGGTATTAACAATCTTGCTAAGCGCATTACAATTAATGGACACATTAGATGCAAGTCTTGAAACAAATACTACGATTGATCTTATTAAATTATTGACTAAATTTAACTTTAAATATGACAATCCAAAAATTAAAAAAGCATTGAACGCTATTCGGTTGGATGTTATATTTTACACATATGATAAACTATTACATAAATTTTTAAGAAATGGTTTAGAAGATTATTTATCAAGTAATTTTAATGTTGATGAAATTTTTAAAAATGCAATAGAAAATGATATCCAAATTCAGTATTCTGAAAAATTAAAAGAAAAATCTATAGAAAAATACATACTTTTTGATTTTTTACATGAAACTATTCTCAATAGTGTCGATAAAATTATTGAAATCAATTACACCAATCTTGGATTCAAATATGACGAGGAAAAGAAAGAAAGTAATTTTATCTTGGAAAAAATAGATAGATTAATAAACAACAATTTAAATTTTAAGTAACATTCTGACTGTATAAGTTTCTAATTTAACAAGAAATAAAGCACTGCATTTTAATTATTTAAGAATTCAGATTTTGTGATTTCTTACGTGAATTCATTTTTAATAATGTGGATGAAATCATTAAAATTAATTACACCAATCTTGAATTCAAATATGACGTGAACACAAATGAAAATACTTATATTCTGTAAAAAAATATTGTTAAATATCACTTTAATTTAAGTTTTAAGTGACATTCTGACTGTATCAGTTCAAAATGTAAACATACTATATTATAATTGTATATTTTATGTCATCAAAGAAATATATTCATGTATTTTACGTTTGAATTATTTATTTATTAATCAATGCACTCTCATTTATAAATAAATGCTGAGTTGAATTCACAATTATTTTCTAAGGGGTAGTCTAAGCATTGGTGCAAGGAGAATGAATGAGCAAAAATAAATATTATAATTATCCATAATTTTTTCTAAAAGTTCTGTTTTTTTTATACATTTTTAAGTTTTGAACCCTTTGTAACCTTTTTTAAAGTGGTTACAGACACACACAAAAAAAAAAAAACAGTAAAATTAATATCTTCTTACCTTCACATCGAAGATAAAATAATTATGGCTAATTTATCTGTAATATTCTCCTCTGAAATATTAATAAAATCAATACCTATTTTATTTCTAAGACCATAGAAAAAAATACGTTAACACGATTACGCATATAATTCTGACCTTGGTCACTATAAAGTAGCCATGAGTCATTGTCTTTCTCAGCGTCTTCGAGGCACCACAAAAGCATTAAATAAGGGAAGTTAATAAAAAGTAAGTGTCTTGCTTTGATTGTAGTACGAATTAGTGCTCAATATGTCTATGAAAAGGCATGACACAATTGAGACATCTCATCCCTGTTTATGCCGTTTGTGGTACATTATATAAAGGCTGGAGACACTGTTTTTCCAGCCAGTCACTCGCTCATTTTTCTTGTCTCTTTTTCTCACTTAAATATATCAAGTTAAACACTTTAAGATTATTCCAAATGTACTCAAGTGTATTCTTTATACTGTGTGTCTATAAACTTAACTTTTGTCACTAAATCTAAATTATACATTTGTTAAAATAATTAACACTTTCCATAGTAATAAATACGCTTTTATTAACCATATACGATTCTCTTTTATTAACATACCTAATATAATTTTAACAATATTCTTAATAACCATAAGTCTACAATCAAGATTCTATCACCATCAGTGAATATCAGGAAACGGGTTACTTGGAAACTCGAGTACCATTTGTGACTAACACCATTCGTTAGGATATTTTATAAGCTTTAATTTGGTGTATAATTATTGCCTGGACTCGTCTCGGAACTTTATCAAAAGTACAAAAAACCGTACTCAGGTCTGAGAATATGTAGTGTTATTACCGCAGATATTGCCCAGCAATTTCTCTTTTACGGGTTACTTGGAAACTCGAGTACCATTTTTGACTAATGCCATTCGATAGGATATTTTATAAGCTTTAATTTGGTGTATAATTATTGCCTGGACTCGTCTCGGAACTTTATCAAAAGTACAAAAAACCGTACTCAGGTCGGAGAATATATGATGTTATTACCGCAGATATTGCCCAGCAATTTCTTTTAAACGGGTTACTTGGAAACTCGAGTACCATTTTTGACTAATGCCATTCGATAGGATATTTTATAAGCTTTAATTTGGTGTATAATTATTGCCTGGACTCGTCTCGGAACTTTGTCAAAAGTACAAAAAACCGTACTCAGGTCGGAGAATATGTAGTGTTATTAACGCAGATATTGCCCACCAATTTCTTCTAAACGGGTTACTTGGAAACTCGAGTTCCATTTTTGACTAATGCCATTCGATAGGATATTTTATAATCTATAATTTGGTGTATAATTATTGCCTGGACTCGTCTCGGAACTTTGTCAAAAGTACAAAAAACCGTACTCAGGTCGGAGAATATGTAGTGTTATAACCGCAGATATTGCCCAGCAATTTCTTTTATACGGGTTACTTGGAAACTCGAGTTCCATTTTTGACTAATGCCATTCGATAGGATATTTTATAATCTATAATTTGGTGTATAATTATTGCCTGGACTCGTCTCGGAACTTTGTCAAAAGTACAAAAAACCGTACTCAGGTCGGAGAATATGTAGTGTTATAACCGCAGATATTGCCCAGCAATTTCTTTTATACGGGTTACTTGGAAACTCGAGTACCATTTTTGACTGATGCCATATAAAAATTACTATAATTTTTATAAGTTTTTTTTTTGAATATAATTTTTAAAAGAATACCCTTCGGAATTTTTTCGTAACTACTTTATAATAAAACATATATTTTAAATAAGTGGCGCCCTCTAGCGGTGTATTTGAGTTTTATATCTGATAAGGAATTGCTATATAGGAATTGCTAACTTCACAGACATATGGATATAGTAATTTCAAAAAATCAACATTGCATTTTTTTTAAATTTTTGTAGTCGTTGAGTGAGTAAAATTTTATACCTTATATAGACTTTTTATAAAAAAGACAATTATTTGAATTATATTTTAAGTCTAAAACATGTCTGAAAGAAAAGTGTTAAACAAATACTATCCACCGGATTTTGATCCATCAAAAATACCCCGTATGAAACTACCAAAAAATCGCCAATATACTGTACGTCTAATGGCTCCATTCAATATGAGATGTAAAACTTGTGGAGAATATATTTATAAAGGAAAAAAGTTTAACGCTAGGAAAGAGGATGCTGAAAATGAAGATTATTTGGGTATTCGCATTTACCGTTTCTACATAAAATGTACACGTTGCTTACAAGAAATTTCATTTAAAACTGACCCTAAAAATACCGATTATGAAATTGAAGAAGGTGCGACACGGAATTTCATGGCTTTGAAACTTGCCCAAGAACAAGAAAAAAGGGAAGAAGATGCTGAAAAAGAAGAAGAAGCCACAAATCCAATGAAATTATTGGAGAACAGAACTCAACAGTCTAAACAAGAAATTGAACTTATGGAATCACTTGAAGAACTTAGAGATTTAAATAGACGCCAAGGTAATGTTGATTATGATTCCATGTTACTAAAATATAATCCTACCGAGTTAAAAGAACAGATAAAAAAATTACAAGACGAAGAAGATGAAAGGTTAGTTCAGACATTATTAGTCAATAAACGTAAAATTGAAGAAGATTTAGATGAGGTGAAAAGTATTAATGTTGCATTAATTCCAAGTACTCAACCATCTCTTAAAAAAAAACCTACAAAATTAAATAATTTAAAACTGGTTAAAATCAATAATTCTTCTAATGTACCTAAACAAACTTCCAGCTCATTATCACTAATTGGCAATTATTCAAGTAGTGATGACTCTAATTAAATTTAATATTTAAATTAATCAAATATTAAATTATTAAATTCAACATATTTTCAAATATATGTACAATGTAATATTATAATTGTTTATTATATTCTTTATTTTTAATTAATGATTTTTTTATTTATAGAAATCAAGTTAAAATAATTTGTCTACTAATTTTCCTAAATATATTTATATAAGGAAGAGCATATCTAGCTTACTATTCTTACAGTTTATGATACAATTAACATATTGCTTGTAATTTTCTTAAATAATTTATAAATTTTTGACTATGTTAAAACCATATTTTTGTTTTTAATAATAAAAAAAATTAAAGTTTACAAAATTTTAAAATTGCCAGTTTTTATATTTTTTATGGGTTGATAACAATTTTAGGACAAATGCTTATTAAGTAAAAACCATTTTAGTACATAGGGTGGGTATATAGTATAGGTGGAATATCCATTTTATATAACTACATCACTGCACGTTAAACTCTTCTTATAAGAAAATCTCTAAAAATGGCAATGTTGAAAAATATACTTTTACCCACGGTTATTTACTCAGGTTGTAGAGACTATAGTAAACTAATAGCGTTAATTTTGCTTGGTCCTATATTAAAATGTGAGTATAAGATATATTGTATAAAATATAAAATATTTTGATTTATAGTGCTTTTACGAAAAAATTAAATTTTTTATATAATTTATAAATGAAATATCAATTATCAGTGAGAGGGTTTTGATGAGTAAAAATACTGTTAACTCAATAAATGTTATAACTAAATTGTAATAAATAATTATGAACTAAAATAACAAAAACCTACCTCTTAATTTGACATTTAATTTATTTTAATTAAGATTACTTATTTCTTATATGAAATATATATTAGGTCAGTCATGTGTACATATTAAGTAAAGAAAACTTCTATACATCTAGTTAATTTATTTTGTATGCTAATTATTTAAATTCCTAGAAAAATGGTTTAATTTCCATTATCAAAATGACTTAGTGGTTGTGTCATCTTTTAATATTTAAATCTAATACATTAAAAAGGATTATATTCACTGAACGCCTTTTTAAATTCTTTTTCTTTGTTTGCTAAATACTACTAAATGTAAAAAAAAAGACAAATGTATTATAAAGTTACTGTATTTATAAAAAATATAAAATTTTAGTCATTAAAGTATTTAAAAAAATATAATACTATTAAAATAAAAATTATTTTTAGGTACAATTAAATAAATTAAAATAAATAGTAAAAGAATCACAAGTTTCACATATAAACTAAAGTATCAAATTAATTAAAAATAATACTTTGATTTTCTATAATTAAGTGTAAAGCACTAATATCACGATTCATGTCTGGAATTGCACCTTTGAAGTCTACTAAATCTGGCATAGGCATTAAAGTAGGTGCAAAAACTGTACTTAAGTTTTGTGCAGTCATTTTATTTTCTTCTGAATGTAGTGTTATTCTAAAATTAAAATTATAAAAAAATCATTATACTAGTAATAGCAATTTTTTAATTTGTTGTAGTTTTATTTTTAAAGACTAAATTGAACTGCTTAGACAAAATACCAGTCTGTAATATGAAACTGTTAGGGGCTTGTTTAATAGTTGAGGATCTTGGTTAAAACCAAGCTACCTGACGTCTGCCCAAATATCGTCCCTATCTCCTTAAATGAGTTTTAATTGCCTGAAGGAGACACAGACAATCGTGTACCTTAGTTACAGAGGATAGATTATTAAATAAAATTAGACTATTGTTTTATGTCAACGACAAAGTAAAGTTATATTAAGATGTTTAGTAAATATAAGTTATATATAATGTACAATACGTCTGACCTGAATCCTAGTACAGTTGGTTAGTAGGTATATCCAAGTGAGACGGAGTTGGTTGGCTATGATGACAATTAGCGATAGACGGGTCGTTGAATAAAACAAGTTAAGTTATAAATAATATAAATAAGACGTAAGTAATAATATTGAAAACTATGTCTATAACAGCCACTCAAACACAACTGCCCTTTGTTAGTTCGACGTCAGTAGTTCCGGGCTACAGACGAGTAGAATTGTCATATCAGCATCTCCCTCTATGCTAATTAATATGTATTACGAATTAAATAAATAGAAATAAAACGTGTGTAATATAAGTGGTAAGAACATAGTAATAAATATTCTTACAAAACGAAATTTTGATCAGACTGTATTACAATAAATTAAATATTATTTAAAGAGACATTTAAAAAAAAATAAACTTTATGTAATTATTTACTATTTAAGTAATTTACCACGTTTTAATTAAATAAATAATGGTCTATGCTTAACTAAAATTATATATGGGGATTTTACTTAAGTCTACATATATTAAAACTGGAAGAATATTTTTTAAATAAATAGTTAAACATAAACATTTATTAAATATGAATATGTAGACCACGCATGTGTCATTACATACATTAGTAATGCTTTAAAACGGGTATTAGAACCCACAAATTTGTATTTAATCAAAGATATAAAGAAGTAAAATAATAACATAAATTTTATTATAATTGATTTTTAAAGATAAAAAATGCTGTTAATGAATCTAATTGATCAATTTTAATGAGTTTCTAGTATGTAATTTCAAAGTTATTATCTATAGACTTTAATTAATTTCAACAGTAATATATTATATAAATAGATTAGTTTAATAATTGTTAATTAATAATATAAATAAAATGTAGAATTCACAAATGCCTGGAGTATTATAAAGATAAAAATTAAAGAATTACTCTATTTATTTAATATTAATTTTAATTTTAAAGAATATACCTTAATACTTTATTACCTATGTAAATGGGCCATTAAATAACTCAGAGTATTGTAATGAGATGGTGGTAATTTTTTTAATGCAGCGCTAACTTCAGCAAGTTTTTCCCAAGCCATTTGAGTTTCTAAATATTCAAATAATAAACATTTAAACAGAGATTTTTAATAAATATTGTTATGTAAATTCTATAAAATTGAGTATCCACTAGGTCAGTTGGTTGGTGTGGTGTTTCAACAAAACAAAATAAATATAGATCCATCCACTAGAATGTCCCTTCTCTATTGCTTATGTGATTTCTTGAGTTTGGTGTTGCAATGACTGACCAACCTAGTGGATGCTCAGCTTAAGATTGTACTGCACATATGTGTTGTAAAATATTTTTTAAATTCGACTGATATTAAATTAGTTTTAGAAAAAATGTAATAAGAATCAATTTTGAATTCTTAACTATAAAGGTTGTTAAGAGGTACTTTAAAATAATTTAATACAACCATATTTTAATTTAAACTAAAAATACAAAATAATGAGATTTAATATAATTGATATACTTATTTATTATATAAGAAACCTATAGACTATAATAAGCTAGACTAAAACATACCAATAGATACATATATATATATATGTTGAACTAATTATGTATATTTAAAATATAAAGAAACAGTAACCTTTTTTAAGCTAGTAAACTAGTTGTCTCAAAACTTGTCCAGTAAATATACTTTTTGTTGTATTTTTAATTCTTTTTTTTAAGTAGGTAAAACATAACAATAATAAAATAAAACTTGTACCATACCTTAACTAACTATATATTTTATAATTCAATTCTTTAAAAAATACATTGCAAATATATGAATATAATCAAAGAATTCTGTATTTATTATGCATACCTAGTGCTTTAATAATAAGAGGGTGAACATCAAAAGTTATTAATGGTATTGGAAGTAATCTTAGATACATTTTAAGAATACTTGCTACCACATGAATATTTTCATATGCTTCATCTCCCATTATAGTTGCTTTTCCATCTAAAATTTATATTTTTTATTTAAGATTTTCTGTACAAAAAAAATTAATAGAATAAATGGAAGATGTGTAGGTAAAAGTTCATAACATTTTCAAAAACGCAAAAATCAATTTTTTTTTATCTAAGTCATGCCATTTTTATTTTTTAAATGTTGTTAAAAACATTTAACGATAGAATAAAAAATAAATTTTATTTAACAAGTTATTAATATATCAATAAAAATATAATAATAGATAAAGCCGGTTTTTTACATATTATCCACACAACAACCAAATTATAGATATAAATTATAATACAAGGCTTAGTTTAATATTATTTTATTGTATTATATTAAAAAAGTATTACTTAATTTCAATAATTATAATTTTAAATAACTTACATGCCTGTAATATTTACCTTTATCTAAAGCTAACCTCAAGCTGTCCATTTCTTCTTGAAATCCTGACACTCTGTAAATACCTTCAACTAACATACCACGTCTTTCAATTTCTTCAACACATTTGTCAACAACAAATGGCCTGTTAGTCTTATAAGCTTTGACATGAGTCGTTAAATCAATTCCAAAGACACCACGGAATAGTTTTAGGTCTGGACAACAATCAGCTGGCAACTTTTCAGAGCACTTGAAGTGTGAACTAAAACCACAATCTAAACATTTTCTCAATGATTATTTTAGTAGAAAAATGATACATTTTTGAAGTATACTAACCTTCACATTTCACACCTTGTTGAGTAAAACCCCATAAAAAATTGCCACATAGTTCACACCAAGTCAAGCCTTTAAAAGAATGCGTTTTAAAGTTATGTGGTTTATCATAGTCTACAATTTCTTCTGAAAGTAACTGTTTTGGTTTCATTTTTTTAATGGTTTTTCTTTTTAATTTATTTAAAGTCATGTATGGGCTTTTTTCATAACTTATTAAACTATGCATTAGATGAATATATTTTCCAGCTTTAGACTCCATATACATGGTTACCTAAGAAAAAATTTAGGTATACTGTAGTACTACTTAAAAGTATTGTACAAAAATACAATAAAACTGAAGAACAGTACCGAGGCTTAAAAATCAAATGGCATAACTTATAAACAATGGTTTAAATGGTCCCACAAGGTTCAGACAAATAGCCAAGTACCTTGTGGGACACTTTGTATACATATAACCATCATTAATATGGTAAATAAATAAAATAAAAAAAATACAAAGTTTATTTAAAAATATTATCATATATTATCATCATCACCTCTTTAGCCTAACTATTTGGGGTCAGCTCTGATTTGATGGGATTTTTACACTGGCTGCCAACCTCATTAATGCTGAGGGAACTAGTAAGAGGGCAAGATGTGTGTTACTGTTAAAGTTCTTGTATGGTCACCCATCCAGGAATTAACAGCAAACAGCACAGCTGAACATTAGCGCTAGACGACAACTGAATGTTCCACTATACCACACTATGCCTACTTATATATATGTATAAATAAAAATATAAACTATAATATATAATTATTTAACTATAAATATAATATATAAACTAATGAACTGATTTTAATCTAGAACTTACAAGTCCATCAGCTACGAGATCATTAATAGTGTTAAAACGTTTTTGAGATACATAATGCTGACCATCATAAAACAACTTGTAGTGATGAACTTTTCCTAAACTTCTAGTTAAATTTAAACAAAAAAATAATTATGAATAATTATTTTTAGAAAAAATTGTAAATACTTTAAGGAAAGAGTATAAGTTTTTTCATCACATCCAATGCTCAAACGAACAAGATAGTTGCCTTCTTCTTTTAGAAGTGAATTTGCTTCTTTATGATTCATAACACCATGATATTCAAGTCCATAAAAGAATGGACAGCCAGTTACTGCACTGGTAGTAAATACTGGTTGTGGCTTGGGGGATTCTTGTTGAATTTTGTACACTAATATTAAAAATAAAATATTATTTATAATAAATTTGAATAAGCAAAAATAAAAAAATTAGTCATTTTAATATAATAAATAATTAATTTTAACCCCGTCGTTATAACTTACAGTCTGGTTTCCATACAATACTAATAGGAGAGCCATTTTCATCAGTCACGGGAGTATCTAAATATTTAATAAGTAATAATAAAAATATTTAAATTCAACATATTTTATAATAATAATTACCATATACTTCTTTACGTTCCATTTTAATTTTTCAAACTTTATTACTTTATTTTTTAATAAAATAGTTACATTTTCTTTTTCTTACGCAGTAATCCTTAATTTCTCTCATATGTGGTAAATATTATTATCACGATAAAATATACTGTACAAAGCCAACTCTCACTATATTGTTATCATTAATACAGTGTCATTTAACCATATAGGAATATTAAGTTGGTAAATTTCAACTTGTACTTAAAAGCATATTAATCAAAATGCAACAGGTGATTTTACTAAAAATCTCAAAAGGTACTTGTGTATGATGTACTTTGTATAGATTTTCTTTTTTTTTTAATTTTCATTATGCTAGAGTGTCATTATTCTGCTTATATCTAAAGATAATTTAAAATGTAACAAAATTGATAGTGAAAAAAATTAAAGAGTTAAGCTAATGTTGATATTATATGTTTTAATGGTGTTCAGGTATAACTAAAATTTAATTAGTTCATGTATTGAGCTATATTGGATAAAACATTGAAAATCAATATGAAGGGCACCATATTCATCAAAGGGAGGGAGGTATATATAGAATGTTCAGTAAGTAAGGAAACAGATCAATTGTTACAAATAATTTAGAACAATAGATAACCGTTTCCTTACTTACCGAATACTCTATATAAAAATATTCAATTGACCAGTTATCATAAAATTTTTGCTTCGATGCTAAGCTGAGAAGATATTATTTTACTATGTGTTTTTTAATGTTTGTTTATGAAAATTCTTAGTTCTCGCTATATTCTTTGTTAACAACTTATAATGAAGGTCTGACTGATGTTTTCTCTACACATAGTCTCTTATTAAAGAATATCAAATAAGAGTAGTTTGAACACACCAACTACAATAATAAAGTAATAACTGGATATCAAGTTACTTATATTCATTATGTCACTACGAATGATAATTATATTTTATATTTTTAACTTTATATTGCTATTACTTTTTAAAAAAATGTATAGATCAATAGAATTTTAATAAATACTTTTTATATATCCCTTTCATCCGACATACTTTTTTTTGAATCGGACCATTTCTATTTATCAGAGGGGGTCAAAAATTTAAACATTCTTGTAGAAACTTTTTCAATTTAATTTTTGAAAATATTTCAGAAATACTGACACTTATATATATATATTAAATTAAAGCTCACTGATACCAGCAGCTCTTCTATTGTTTATTTTAAACTGCATTAACTCAAACTTTTTCAAGTAATCTTTTTAATTTTTTAAACTACTATATCATGTAATGAAATAGCATGCAATACCGATTCTTTTAGTCTTCTTAAAATATATCTTCTTCACTCATTTGTTTATTTAACTGTCTACGTAAATTTTCAATTCCTGTTACATAACTCATAGCTGACTCTGACTCTTCCTGCCTACATTTTTCAAATTATATATTTATCTATGTATGTATTTTGCACTAACCTTAAGTTCTCTGGCTTAAGGTAGTCCTTGTACTGTATTGAATAACGGATTACCTTATTGACGCAAAATAACACGCGCACAAAAATATCGAGACGAAAAGAGAGAAAAAACTTCCAGGTGTCGTGTCGGTTCAAACCTCGAATTGGGTGTCAATTTATATCGTACGTCTGTATTACCGCGACGTAGACACAAAAAAGTACACAAATTAATTAATGCTTTAAACGTGAAGTTCGTCGTTTTGTATCTTCTCGAGTCCTTCCGTTAGGTACACTGGCCAGCCCCAATCCCTCCAGTTAGTGAACCACTAAAGGGGTAGGAGTTAGATACGTCATCACGGTCTAGCTCAAAAGTATCAGATTAAGGAGTGATTCCTCGTCAGCTACCAGCACAACTACCTTTTTACTAAATCCTCTAAAGGACAGTTAAGCTCAAAAACTAGCTAGCACGCACCCAGACTGAACGACTAAAGGTCCAGCAGTTTTACCTTGACTCTAGCAGTACACATACGCACAATTTTAACAACAGCGATATGAAGTACTTACACCAAGTGCAGGTTTCAAACAGTTATCTTTTATTTACGGAATGTCAGAAACACAAAATCAAATATAATACAAAAATGTAACACAATATTCCCGTTCGAAATATATAAGTTTCACGCGCTAAAACGTTCTGGACGGAAACAAGACGTTTCTTATTAAAAACGTCTATCTCTTTTTTATCATCTCCTTTTATATATTCTTGTTCCCACCATTGTTAACATGCTTACCTTGTATTTTCCCTTTATATGACATTATTATTTTTTTCTTAAGAATTTAAAAATGCTTACTGCAGTGTTTAAAATCTTATACTTACTAATATGAAAGTTTATTTACTGCAATATCAATTGAAAATAGATTGTAACTATTAATAAACATATCATAAATACACAATAAATGAAAACTATTATGATAGTTATTAGGAAGTCGAAATGTCATAAACAACAATAAAAATAAAACTTGCTTTTTATAAATTTGCGCCCCTCAAAATTTGCCTCTGTAGGCATTTGCCTATAGTGTCTGTATATAAATACGCATCTGCATAAATTGATAATCTAATTAGAAAACCTCCAATTTATATGAAAATTGAGATAGTATTTCTATTTGATAGTGTAAATAACACTCATTAAAAATTATAAAAAAATAACCAACAATTAATCTATTCATACTCTAATTATAAATGTCATATACATACTTTTATAATATAAATGTATGTAATTAATTTTTACAAATTTTATTAGAATTAATTTTATATATGCCTTTCTTAAAAATGTATTTATGTGCAGGTTTTTTTTACAATCTATCAATTACATTACAATAAGCACTAGTGATATAAGAATCTTATAAAATCGTAGATTTGATAGAAGAAACTACTCAATTTAAAGTAAGTACATAACAGTACTTTATGATGTGACGGTTTTTAACAGTTTACTATAGTGAATAGCTTAGTTTGCTACTTGTTTCAAATAAGTTAATTTGAGCCTTAAAGTTTATTATAAGTATATATATTTATATTTTAAGAGTGAATTAAGGACTCATTTTGAATAAATATGTATTGGAAGGGCTTTATGCAGTTCATACATAGTTCATGGACAAGAATATTTTTATTACGGTAGTGTTAAAGAGATGATAACCAGTGCTTATCAGATATACATTTAGGCAAGTGAAACAACATATCTATCCGTGGATGTTATTAAAAACTTAATAATTATTATTTCAGCATAAACTCCAACTATTTAAAAGTAAGTAAATTAATGTTTTTTTAAAATTTAGAAAGAAAATTTTATACTTATTTCAAAGTTCAAATATATTTAAAAGATTATTTGTCATTTGTTAAAATGAACTAATTAAGTGAATTATTTCAAATATTATAATTTTTTGTTGTTGTTGTTTAATTAAATTTATACATTATATTAAAATTTTGTAAACGGTTGACAAAAATAAGCATAATTGTGAATTGAAATTTGGATTTTTATTTTCTATATATTCAGATATAACAATAATTTTTTAGTGATTCAAAAAAAAAAAAAAAACTCAGGAGAAATCTATAATACATTACAACTGAAGATTTTATATATTAATATGGTCTTTATTAAATTTTTGAATTAAACACATTTGGTACAATTAATTGAAATAAATCTTGTGACTTTTATAATAATTTAATACACAATATAGATATATAATATAATGTACAATTTTTCTGCTCTTATGATATCGGAATATTTATCAATTAAATTAATAAAGGATGCTCTCTTAGTTTTGCAGAATATAAGACCTTTATAGATTGTAATTGATATTGATAAAAAAAACTGTTTTCTTAAGATACCAATTTACTAAAGTACCTAAAAAATTGTATCTTAAAATTTTTATTTAAAGAACAAAGAAGGTTTGTATTTTTATGGTAATTTAGTACATCATTTTTACTTAATTAAGAAATTAATGTTTAATTTATAAACATTAGTTGAATTTTCTTTTCTCTTAATTATGATGATAATTTATTTTAATATTTTTTAAATAAACAAAAACAAAAAAGATCATATTTTTTCTAGTGGATTAACTACAAATGTATATAAGCTCCAATAAAGATATATTATTCAATGATTTTATGGGTATAATATTTTTAAATTTCTTGTTTGTTAACTTATTGTTATAACTTAAATAATAATCTTTATTTTTTGATATTATATTTAATTTCTATAAAAATACTAGTTTTATTCTAGAATGTGTGACTATAATTAGCTAAATATATATTGTAATAACATAGGTACAAATTATATGTTTAGGATATAGATCATTGGTATTTATTAGAGAAAAAATTTTTTATGTTAAAGACTATTTTTTTTATTTAACATACATATATGGCTTAAATTTGATTTTTCTAAAAGTCTGGTGGTTTTTGCCATTTGTATACCCTTCCAATTTGCCCTAGGTGTTTAAATTGATAAACCTAAAAAGTTATATGTATGTTTTAAAATATTTTGTTTCAGAAAATGGAAAATGAAAAATTAGATCTTCTAAATAAGTCAGCTCATATAAGTTCATTAAATAAAACCCCAGTAACAATTGTTCAAGAGTATGCATCAAAAAGACAATTATGTCCACAATATGATCTTGTTCATAATGGTACTAAAGATCCTGTGGTGAGTTTTAGCTACAGACTAACCTTAGAGGATTATGAAACAATCGGAAAAGGTTCATCCAAAAAAGAAGCTAAGCATGTGGCAGCTTTACATTTACTTCAATTATTAATGAATGATAAACCACAATTAATTAAAAATGAATTTAAGCACTTTGATATCAATAAAAATGTAGTTTCTCCTTATGAAAAAAATATCAAAGAAAATGCAGTAGGCCAACTTAACGACATTTGTTCTAATTTAAAAATCAAATTACCAGAATTCAAAGAAGTCCGAGAAGAAGGACAGGCTCATGCAAAATTATTTACTATAAGTTGCTGTGTTGGTAAATTGTGTGTAGAAGCACCTCACAAGACAAAACAACAAGCAAAGCAGTTAGCTGCACATTTAATGGTGCAAAAATTAATGGCTATGGATAAATCATTGATTATTACTCCATCTGATACAAGTAATGTAAATCCTATGAAAGTACTTGAAAAAATAGAAACCATTAAATCAAATCAAGTTAAATTGTCACCTCCAATGGATGAAGATATGTCCAATTATCATTTGCTGTTCAAAAAAAATGATTGGCCTAAAACTGACACTTTAAATAAATTAGTCCGACAAATTTGTTGTGATAGTAAATTGAACGTGAGTAATCCTGTGACACTTTTAAATGAAGTTGTTAAAGAGTGTGATATGTTGTTACAACAAAAAATTATTGATCAAGATTTTATCAGAGGGTCTAAAAATAATTGTTATTTTATGTTTAGTATTGAAAATGTTTATCCAACAGTATTTGGTCTTGGAGTTGGTAATGACATTGAAACTGCCAAAAATGAGGCTGCATTAGATTTAATAGCAAATATATGTCTATTGTATAAATAATTTTTTTTTTGTCAACTAACTAAAATTTTGTAATTGATATTTTTTATTTTATTATCATTGTAATATCATTTTTAAAAATATTTTCCTAATTGTTATTTTTGTTAAAAATGAAATATTTTGTCATTTTATATTATTTCCAATATATATATATGTATACAATTTTTATAATGTATACAATTTTTATTTTTATGTATAGTAATTTATAAAATTACTATACATAAATCTATTTTATGTACATGATTCTTTACAAATAGAAATAAGTTTTGATTTAAGTTATCTTGTGTAGGACTAATTTCTTCTGTATGCATTTATCGTATGAAATGCATACTATACATATTTAACTCATAGAGAAATAAATATTTTTGCTTGTACGTTATTGAGCACTAATATTTATAGTTTCATGGACACATGTACTAAGAGATAGTGTTTCTTGATTTATTTTGTAGAGGTGGTGTATACAGCAGTATAATTAAGATGTTAAAACTTTTTTCTTTTCCTTTATTTTGCTTAAATGAATATTTACATATTTAATACAATAAGTAATTTTTATAATTTTATTGATTATATAATACAAGACAGCATTTAAATGTATTTATGTAGTATAATTAGGCCATAACATGTTAATTGAAAACAGTTTGGTAACTTGTTATTTTTTTTGAAGTTTAAATTTTTAATTTTACTTAATAAAGCTGTACATGTTAAATTTAATTTCAGTACATCAATATAGAAAAATATTTAATTATTTTAACTTAATGATACTTTTGACATTAACTACTTGATTTCTTTAAAAATTATAATTGTATGGTGAACAATTTTTTTGACTGATTTTAGTTTCATATATTTTTGTATATGTGCTAGTTATTTGTGGAGCATCGGTTCCGATGCTAACTTTGTATAAAATTGTTATGCCTTCCTCCCAAAGAAAGATCTTAACTTTGCCACTGAATAAAAAATCTGGTATTTAACTGGTTTGACAGTGATTTAACTGGTATTATAGTCCAGGGATTCTAAACTAAAGGGTTGCGACCTTTTTGTCCATCCTGAATTAATTTTTAAGTTATTATTTATAAATGATTGTAATAGTAATGAGAGAAGTTAAAAAATTCAACATTTTTAAAAGTAGAAGTTTTAATAGAAAGTTGAGATTTGCTGTTATAGAAAAGAAAATGTTCTTACTTTCGAAAAATAAGTATTTTACCTTTTAATAAATACTCTTTACAAAAAACCTTTTTATTAAAAAATTACTTTAATTAATTTTGTTATTTAGATTTATTTCAACCGTAGTGATCTATAATTCTGTTCCCATAATTTGTACTCTGTATTACAAAAGGTGTGCGGTGTATTATATTATTGTTAATTTATATTTTATAACATCATATTATTGTTTTATTTTATATTAAAACTATTTTATCAATATAATTGGTTAAAGGGGTTATAACTAAATTTCATAATATTGTAAACAGGAAATAAATAATTTCAGTTTTTGGTAATTTTTCTTATATCAAGAAAGTTAGTTCATCTGTATTAAATTTTATTTTTTAGAAAATGTTGAATATAGAAAACTATTGATTACAAAAACCAAATGATTATGAAACTTTAGTTTAATTTAAAATTCGACTAAAAATCGATTAATTTTAGCTTTAAAATTTTTTTTAAATCAATTTTTAAGTTTAACTAAGGTTTTAAAAGTGATTTCATAATACTTCTGGTTTCTACAATTATTAACCTTATAAATTCTTGAAAAAATTCAATATTGTAGATCAACTTGTTGACCTATTATAGTTAGCTAACTTGATACGATATAAAATTTCTAAAAATCGATATCATTTCGGATCCTAGCCTTAAAATGTAATTTTTTTAATTCTTTAAATACATTAACTTTACATAGTTATATTGTAAATAACTAAATTCTCATAAATTTTTCTTCTCAATTTTTCATTATTTTTAAATGAACTTGTAAAGTCTTTTAAAATAACACGTGTCGTCAACTTTGTAAGTGGTTATTTTTTTAGTTGCTTATAATTATAATTTATTTTATATTTTAATTAATTGACGAGTGTTTGACTTATTTATTTCTACTTTTACATCCACAGTTTTACAGGAATGTTAGCATTAACGTGTTTTTAAAACATATTTTAGTTAAATACTTTTTTGGAAGTTATTAACATTTAAACATAAAGGATGGATATGGAGAGTCCTTCTGCTTATATTTATATCTAAGCACTTTTGAATCGCTTTTCTTCTTTTGCCACAATATAATACTTGTACCTTTTAAAATATTGGTTCAAAATTTGTTATCGACCAATCATTTTCTTATTTTTAACCCAGATAAACAAGTATGTTTCCATTTAAGGAACTAACATTAATACAACTTCAAGGGGAAAGAAGAGGGGATAGAACTATATTTTCATCGAGTTGAGTTTCTCAGAAGTGGTTGAAACAAAATTATATAAATGCATAAAATCTTTTTAATAAGTTTGTCATTTTTGCTATATTATATAGTATTAAGATAACAAAGAAATACATCGATGAGACGTGTTTTTACCAAAATCATCCGTGGTAATCAATGAATTGACGGAATTCTCTCAATACTATCGTAATTTTATTAATTGTCTGAGATTTTAATTTTGTCTAAAATTAATTATTTTTATTATCCAATTTACATCATGACATTTTCACTTGATAATATAGCTCGTTCCATTTTTCGCCCTCCCAGAGGTAAGTAAATAAAGTTCAAATAGATATTTTACAAATTATTAATCTAAATACTCATCCGTTAATGTTAGAAAACTGATCGGATTGAGAACATTTTTTTGATAATATTTAAAACATTAATCTTACTGACGATATACATTTTTTAAAGAGTTATTAATATTTTAATGCTAAGCACATTAAACAAATTTTCTTGATATTGCCAACAATAACAAATTTTGTAAGAAATATTCTGAAATGATCATTTTTTTTACTTTTCTTTAAAATATAGATGTAGTATAAAAAACTTCAATGATATTTTAAAACTTTCAAATAAAAATTAAGCCATACAATAAATTACTGATAAATAAGAAATTTGGATCATTATTTTAACGAGATTGTATCTGAAGTACATTGGAGAAGTTTTAATTAACCTCACATTAAGGTTAACTTTTATAGACATAAAAGTTAACCTTAATTAAGAGTATGGCCGACCACAAGTAGTTGGGATAAGGCGAGGAAGAAGACTAAATAAGGAGTATCCAAAAGAGACATTTAAGGATATCTTGTAGTACGAGGGACTTGTAGATTTATTTAGTAAGAAAGAGGTATGGGAGGCTCTGGTATTAATGCAAAGGAAGAGTACAGAAGGTTTTAGGGTAAAAGTAAGAGTGCACCAAGACTCTGCTTTAAGCTTTACTTATTTTCTATAGTGATGGATGAAATTGCTAAAGAAATATAAGGAGAGGTGCCGTGGAGCATGTAATTTGCTGACGATATTTATTTATTTATTATATTAGTTTACAGGATGTATCCCTTATTTTACAAGCATTTTATGTTTACATAATTAATTTTAACTAATTTTGAGAAAGACACAAAAAGAAAAAAAAAGACAAAATCTAATATGAGTATAACTAATAAATCAAACATATGAATAATACATTAATAAGCACAATTAAAATATTATTATAATATAAAATTAGGATCAGCATTTGCATTTCTAAGTGATATTGATATAGTGTTAATAGGAGAAAATAGGGTGTAAATTAATCAAAAGCTAGAGGTGTGGAGATCAGCTCTTGAAGAAAAGGGTTTAAGAATAAGTAAAAGTAAGACAGAGTATATAGAGTACGAGTTTGATAAAGGAAAACTCGAGGTAGGTGAAATGAAGAGATTTGTGATAATAAGCTAGGATATTATGGGAGTTGTTGAAAGTTTTATGTATTTAGGATCAGTTGTGAAAAAGAGCGGTGGTACGACGAGGATGTAAGACACAGGATTAAGTGGAGGAAAGCGTCTGGTTTGTTATGCGATAAAAGAATTCTAATGAGACTAAAAGGTGGGTTTTAGAAGTCTGTAGCGAGACCAGATATGATGTATTGTTCAGAGTGTATAGGTAAGTATAGATGTAGCGTCAATCGTAGATAAGATGAGAGAAAATAGACGTAGATGGTTTGGTCATGTTATGAGGAGAGAAAAATCGGAAACTGTAAGAACATTTATAGAAATGAATGTTGAAGGAAGAAGAGGTAGAGGGAGACCAAAAATAGATGGAAGGATGTAATTGAATGCGATATGTTATAGTGAGCCAAAAGTAAGATTTTATTATAATATAATAAGGTAAATAAAATTGGGTGTATTGGTTAATTAATTTGGATTTTTGAGAATTTGAATAAGTATAATTATCTTACTTTCGGTTACTATAATTGAGTTTGTTTAATTTCATTGGGGTCGTGGAGTCCGAGGGTTTAGAGAATGACAATACAATCAGATAAAAAGGGTTATGATGAGTATTAAAATTTAATGTATGTATCAAATTTATAAAATTTGGTAAATCATTTGAATAGTCTTACGTTTCAAGGTCACGAGCTTAGGTCGGCAAACTATGAAACGTAATAAGAAAATGGGTAGGTACGATCTTAAGTCAAGCACTTTGAACGCATTTAATAATTCTCCTGATAAACCAGTTAATAAATTTTAATGAGAAAAGATAAGTTAATTATTATTGTTTTGTCATTCTCTTCTCGGATTAAATAATTCCAAATTATTGGAATAACAATGTATTACCTACTTTATAATGTTTTCTGCGGAATTGAAATGAACAACACTGACAAATTTTTCTTTTGAATATTTTAGAGACTGGTGGTCAATTGCTGCATTTGACTCTTGGCTTGAAAAGTGGAATGAGAGAATTGTATAGCTTTTTACGGCTTTTTATATGAAATCTATGATCTATATATGTCACCAAAATGTAAGAATTGACCACCAGGGCTCTTATCTTTATTGAAATTAAAATTATAAGCAAATATAATATTTTACTTTGGTTATGGTACATTTGATTTTTCTTAGGGATAGTGTTACTTAATACATTGTCTTTGTAGATTAATTTACAGTGTTTACATTTATAGTATAGATATTAATCTTAAACTGAATAAATACATATATTGTATTAATTAAATTAGTGATTATGCTATGATATCAATTTAAGACAATTGTTTTATTTTGTAATACACATTGCGAATAATATTAAATTTGAGCGATGAACGGTATCACAACAATGTGGACGGCTGATGTGAGCGTAGATGATGTGGGTGATCGTGTCAAGTGGAAATTTAGGATAAGTGTTAGGATAAGTTATTTGAGATAAAAGCGAAGAAGAAGAACATTGTCCATAATGTTCAAATGAAAAAAAAATATTGGCATAAAAATAAATAATAAGGAACGAGTAATGATTAATTATTATCTATAAATTAAAAAGAAATAAAATGTCTTTCGACATTTTAATTATACATTTTATAGAATAAAAATATTGTCAGTGTATTTAGGGAATGTTAATAAGTATAAATTTTATCATTATTTTTTTTAGCTGAGGTTCCAATATATGGATTTAATATACTTACTAAATCCAATCACTACGAACAAGATTCAAATGTTCAATTATTAGACGATTGGTTAGTGAGAATATACCCTACTAAGGGCACTATGGAAATTATAGGTATGCAATTTTAGCTTCGATGCGAAGCGGAGAAGGTATTAATTTTACTATGATGTGTTTTTTTTTNTATACTATTTTTGTATGATAATTATGGGTTTTGTATTTTATTTTAATAGAAGTTGATGTTGCTTTTGCAATTATCCATCAATTTTTTAAAATTAAACACTATCTACAGATTTGCATCGAAGCGTTTCTTATGATAGTGATTTTAATCACTGTCAGATTAAATCTATACTGGACCCTACTATGCAATGTCTCCACTATGCCGCAACCTCACTGTGCTACCAATTTTTTTTATTATTTTTACTTTTTAATAAAAATGTAATAATTAAAAAACACTATGTTATTAATACACTAATCAGTTAAATATTCTTAATTAAACAGTATAATATTTCATTCGATTTTCTAAACATTTGATTAAGTGGGTTCAGGGGTGACAAAATGTTTAAAAAATCCAAAAAATATTTTATCGATACACACTCTCGGGACGGCTCTGAATATTCGACTGTTAGGGTATTAAGTTGAAACCTCTTTTATTATACATATTTATATTTTTATAACCTATATGAGCATTTTACGATACAACTTAGGTATAATAAATAAACAAATCTGCGACTATCATATAAAATAAATAATATTGTTATTTTTAAAAACGATTTTAGGAAATTTGTTTTCTAAAGATTGTAAAACAAAAAAAAATATTTCGGTCGGAGTTTTGAAAAAAAGAGTGTCAAAAAACATACTACTGACAAATGAAGGTAAATTCAAATTAATTACACCGATGAAAAATATGTACAGCAAAAATGGTAAACCAAAATTTAACCAAGCTACGCTAGATTTTATGGATTTAGTTTCTGTTGTAAAAGGATTTCCCAGAAAATGGAAATCTTACTTAAAAGAAAAAAAAAATACAAACAAAAAATGTCATGCCAATTTTAGTTTTTCACCCACTGTTATTAATATTAACTGTAATGATTTTATAAGCTATTTGTAATAATATATTATTGTTATAATATCATTTACGTATTTTTAAAACATTTTATCTTTTATTAGTTTATTTGCAGTATTTTTAGCTTCAGCGCGAAACTGCAAAGTTAATATAAGATGGACGGTGTGCGTTTTTTTATGTCTGTACAAGAAAATTCTGAACTCTCACTGGACCGAATTTGTTAGTCTATGTGTATAAAGAACCCAATTTAAATCTAGTTGAACCTAAGATTACCAAAGATAGAAAAGTAGTCATTAAATTTTAGAAATAAAAAAAAATATCTCAAAATTCCTCTACTGTAAAAAACGGTATTTTTAAACATTTATTCTGTATTATAAAACTGAAACAGCTTTTTTTAAAAAATACTGATCACAATGAAATTTTAATAGCCTACGCCAGAGACAATAAACTTTCTATTGGTATAATTTTTTTTTTTATAAATATCTAATGAAAATCCGAAATACAGGAAGAGTATTAAAGGAAAAAAATTGTTTTTGACTCAAGTTTTGAAAATATTTCGGAATGTCTGTCCATTTTTATCCTACATAAAAATAAGCTTTTGAAATATTCTACAATATTGAAAAAAATTGTGCGACGATTGTTTTACTATAAAAACCGGCTTTCAAATAAATTAATTTTTTAAATTTTGAAAATGTTTTGGGATACTGAAAAATTGAAACCTATATCAAATTAAAGCCTTTAAAGAATGCTTTATGATAGAAAAATAAAAATGTTCGGCGATATGAAGACTTTATTAAAATATCATCTATTGACAAAAAACGCTTCAAATAGTTTTGGAAACAAATAAAAATGATGATATTATGATAAAAATTACATGACTATCTCAATGAGAGTCTAATGGTTCATTAATGACAAGTCGTCGGAACGTCTATGTGCATGAAATTTTTGTCATGATATCATTAGCTTATTTACTCAGTGGCGTAATTAAATTTAACCATCCCAGCTAAATGAAAATAAAACTGTATTTTCATCATATATTTTTTTTTGTTATGAAATTTATTCCTCATTTCCTTGAATTACGCCCTTGAAAATGTTTTTGTCTATGAATACTCAAATTTATTTATTGATTTAATCCTATAATTGCCAAAAAATTGTTACAAATATAATCTACAGCAATAAAAAAATAGTGTGTACAATTACACACACTAGTAATTATTTTGATTCATAACCATTTAAAAATCATCAAACGCCACCACCACCTCCTAACTCTTCTTCATATTGTTTACGGAAACAGTCACCAACAGGGAAAAAGTCCCAGCATCTTTGTTGATACATGTTCCACACATAAGTTTCTTGACCAGTGTATTCAGTATCAGGTTTATTAATCAAGTGCATAAGGAAAAACCTAAATTTTTATAAAATAAAGTTGGTAATAATAATATTTCATAATTGAAGGTACAGTGCAACACCAGCCAAATCCAAGATTTTCTAAAAGTAATTTTTTATTAATTTTCAACAAATATAATTTTTCTGCGTAATTCAGTTAAAAAACGAGTTTTATATTCCTATTACTCTTGGAGTTATTTGATTATTGTACCGTGCCTTCAGTTTTATATACAGAATGCTCAAAAAGTAAGGGAACAGATCAATTATTGCAAACAATGAGAACAACAGAAACTCGTTTACTTTCTTACTGAACACTCTGTAGAGTAAAAAATTTAAATTTATAATAAATTACTATCATCTACCAATCATAAATGTAATGTTAAAATCAATAATATTGCCTAAAATATTTTATGCATAATGATATATTAAGAATGTTTTTTTCTGTGATTAAAGTTAAAGAGAGTGATAAATGATAACAGAAGTCTTTAATTTACAGTCGTCAAAAAAAAAAAAAAAAAATGGCAATTAGTTTTTTTAAAATATGGAGATTTTTGCATGGAAACCCTGTGTAGCTATGCCATAAAAATATGAAGCATTCCTGACTGACCTAGATAGTCTTAGCTGTTTTATTTTCAATACAGATTGTAATGATTTTCTTGATCTTTGGTTAAAATTATTGTACTTTGATCTAAATATTATTTTATTCATATATTGTCTTAAAAATAGTGCTGTCACGTTATTTATTACACCCTTTAACATTAACCACAAAAAATGTTTTCCTTTAAAGAAAAAATCTAAATCATGTAAGTAATGTTTCTTAAGGAAAACAATAAGCTATATATTTTATTATTCCATTTTGACTATTAATATAAAAAATATATTTAGTTAAATTATATTTTTTTAAATAAATTAATGCAATTATTGTATTAAGTTATTATTCTATTTAGAAGTTGTAGGAAATGTTGAAATAACCAAAAAAATATAATGTGTAATTAGGTTAAATATAAGTAATATAATCAACTGAATTTAAGTGAATTAAACAGAAATAAATAGAGACAGTGCAAAAAATAAAATTATGAATAGCAAGAATAAAATGAACAAACAAATGTTTCACACTCAATCAGTTAATTAGATATAATCAATGAATAATATTTAGGTTTTACAATTCGGCCAAAATTTATTGAAAGTCTATTAGCAAATATATATTTTCTAATTTTTTCAATATTTATGTGGAATAATTTTTATTAAATGTCGAAATTTTAGTTTTAAAAGTTTAATCATTTTATTACGTTTGTATAATAAATATGTCTATAACACTAACACAACTTAATAAATGTATACTATAACTTACATGTAATTGGCTAAATTATGCTCTTGTTGTACATGAGTATCAAATCCGTGTGGTACTTTATCAAAGTAATCTTTTCCAATTCCACATATAAAACAGTTTGATTCCATGTCTTCTTTTACACTTTCGAGTTGGTCACGAAGTTCTCCAAATGCATCAATAATCAAACCTGAAAAATAAACATATTTTTATTTTTACTTTTTCAATACTTAATTAAATGTAACTATTTTCGTTTAAGTAAAACTTTATAGCATATGAATATAATCTTTTGTATAAAATAGATTAAAAAAAAAAAGTAGTAATGAAACTCAAAATAAATATAGCATGTTTGATTATATACCTTGAATGATAGCTAGTAAAATAACGATGACGAAGAAGAAAAACGTTATATCAAACATTATTCTGTATACTTCATAGTCGTCACCATCAGGTGGTTCAATTTCGTCACCTATACCTCCACCAGCCCTTACTCCTTTGTATAAGTGAAATACGAAACACTGAAATACAATATTATTATTAAAAATTAAAGAAATTATTAAAAAACTTTTCTTTTTAAACAAACCAGACAATCAATTTTAATGAAGTTAAATATCACAAGCGATTTTAATATTAATTAATTAATTCCTACATGGGAAAATATGAACATTTTTTTATACTAGAAATTATTTATTTCTCTTGAAATTGCTTTCTTTCAATAATTTTTAAATAATAATTAAGGAACATCGATACAAATATTAGTATAAGTGTTTCCAATTAATTTCATAATTTTGGTATTGCAAGTGATGGACATAAAATTTATATCCTTTGCTAGCAAGTTAACTTTATAAATATACTATTTTCATCATGAGTGCTATTTTATAAATTTATCAATAGTTAGGTTGGGTTATATTAAATATCTAAATTATGTTTAATCTATTTTAAAATTTATATAAAATTTCAAGTATTAAGTACAATTAACCATCGATATAACAATAATTATTGTTATATTTTATTGTTTTTCCTTTTTGTATATTATTAGGATGGTTAATATAGCAACAACATAACTATATAGATGACCCAACTATAATATCAGTTGGGATTATTAAATAAATCTAGTTTATATAGTTGGTTTATCTGTTTAAGATAGTTCTTCTAACTATATAGTTAAGTTGTCACTATATTAAACATAAGTTGTGATGGTACAACTATATAAATTTTCTGTGTAGACACTACACTGTAGTCTCTACCCGACAATTTGGGATAGACTCTACCTTACGATTTGACAGGATTTACACTGACGCAAAATTATTATGTTTAAGGGAGTCAGTATTATTAGCATAGGGATAAAAATATACCGTTAACATATCATGACACTTTTTATCCACTTCATTATCTTCTTCTTGAACGTAGAATTTTCTGAAGAAGTTGAATGCAATTACAGTGTATATGTATACAATAATGGTAAGAAGCATTACGGTCAAAACCAACTAGGATTAACAAATTTTATAGTAATTAATGGGTATAGAATTCGTTGAATAGTCATACACTTAAGTTTTATATACCTGTTTGCCATTGTGAGTTACTGACTGTAAAATTGTTCGAAGTGTTTTAAAACCAACAGCTACATCTAATAAATGAGCGGCGAAAAAGAAGTTGTTGAAGTTACCCAAAATAGAAAACGTAAAGTACCACAAACTGTAAAGAAAAGCCTAAAATACATACAATTATTTTAATTAAAAACTCAAATTATCCCTATTTGGTATAAACAGTGGCGTGTCCAGGAATTTTAAATGGGGAGGGATGTCATAACTAATAGGTATTAATACAACTAAATACATTTAATGGGTGTGAAAGAATTAGAAAAAGATTAATAAGGAGCCCCCTTATTAATTAATTAANGGGAGGGATGTCATAACTAATAGGTATTAATACAACTAAATACATTTAATGGGTGTGAAAGAATTAGAAAAAGATTAATAAGGGGGCTNTGAAAGAATTAGAAAAAGATTAATAAGGAGCCCCCTTATTAATTAATTAATTAGAGGTCAAGCCCCATTAAAATATTTATTAATATTTTGTGTTTTGTATGATATGATGTAATGTTGTTATACAAATGTACAATGTAATAATTACAACTTTATTCAATTATTGCTGTTAGGTACTCGATGCTAGAAAAAAAACGCAATGGGGAGGGATATGACCCCTAACCCCCCCTGGGCACGCCACAGGGTATAAAGAAATCACAACTTACATTGTCTGTTATAGTTACTCCAGCTTTCCATACTTGATATCTCCAATCGATGTTAACAATACTAAAAATTAGTAGTAATATTATTATAAAATCAAATGATTAAACAAAATTAACCTGACTATCTTTTCAGACGATTTAATTAATTTTACATTTGAATAAATATAAGGCAACATATTTAATAATATATGTGAAAGACATTAGATTGAAATTATAGAGTAGTAGGAATTTGTAGTTAAATTTAATTATATGGGTTTTACTTAAATTGTTTATTTATAAAAGCGATTGGATTTGGTTTTTTGAAAATCATTTTTTTTAATAAATATGTGTTGTATGGCTATAAACACATCATCCATTGTCGAAAAATTTTGTATTGCAGGATAATATATTTAATTAGAGCGTTTAAAACATTTAGTTTATTTTTGAATAATGCTAATTACCAAGACTTAACTCCATTTAATTTACAATTTATTTGTAATTTAATTAATTTTATGAATTGATGAATTTTGATGATAACAGCAATATATTTTTGAATTAAATAAATTAATTTCCTTTTTTGAAAAATTATTATGTTTTCATGGAGTATATTTTTTTTTACAAGACCTTATAATGTACAATTATTTATTTTTTAAATAAAAAATAAAGTGTTGTTTCAATTTATGATTTTAAAAGTCATAATACAATATATTTATAAAGAAATTATAGTTTACATTTTTCTATTATACAGATTTTGGTTTATGATTTATTATTTTATTTGTAAAAGGATTTAAGTAACTAATTTATTAATAAAAAGAGTCAAAATCGTATATTTTACTCACATTTTGTTGATTAAAATATAAAATTTTAAAACATTTATTAAATTGATTCCATTTTTAAAATTTTATATTTTAACTTAATAAGAAATATAGTTTTTTCTTAATATCCTTAAAGTTTTACAATTTGAACTGTACTTATTATAATTAAAAGATTCAACTTTTAATTAAATTATTTATTGATGAATGGACACAAATACTAAAAAAAATTAACTCTTTTTTAGGTAATTTATTATCTAAACTGTCAGTTCAACTCAGCTAACAGAAGGATTAAACCCTTTTTATCACTTTTGGATTTGCCAATGCACGTGACGGACTAACCTATCCTGTCCAGGAGTAACAAGATAAAAAATTTTGTCTGTGGAGAAGGCAAAAATGGTTCTTTATGAACCATTTAAAAAATTATGTATGAAAGTGTGAAATATTTCAAGCAAATATGATATGTGATAGTTCAATATACTAACAAGTTAATTAGTCCAGTTCCCTCTTCATTTCCTGTTTCTTGAGTACTGAATGATGTTTTCTCCATACCTAATAGATTGCTTATCGAATCAAAGTCATAGGTTTCACTATACTTTTGTCGTACTTTTTTCTTAGCAAATTTATCCCAATAGTTAACTGGAAAAGACCTATATAATAATGTTAAAAAAAATAAATAAAATATTTGGGTTTATGTAAGTATGATTAAAACATACTTGGCAGAAATGACCAGCTTATCCCAATGAGATTTAATATCATCGTCTTCAGGTTGTTCAACTATATATAGACCATCAAATTCAAGTCGTCTTGCTATTTCTTTTTCTCGTTTGAATATCGCTAAAGGCACTTTGAGATGATAATACGCTATGAGCATGGCCAACGAAACTAGGGAATGTAATAAAGCCGCCAATCGCATAACGTGTGCCATATAAAAGAAATCTTGATCAACATGGACTAATTCTATAACATCATTGTCATCGTCACTATCGATATTTTCAGGTTCAACACCTGTACCTAATGCTAAAGTTTTGCTTTCAGTATCATCCGCCAAGTCTTCTGATAATGTTGAGACCTAAAGACAAAAATAGATAAATTTTCAATATGAAAATATAAGTTGAATGAAATATATTTACTTTACCTTATAAAATAAAAGTATAAAATTAATACAAAAAGCCAATACTAGAGCAACATATTTGAGATTGTAGAAGTTTCTGGCCAAAAAGCTTAATGCTCTGTGAGTATAAGCATTGATGTCGATCTATATAATACAAAATAATAATTTAATATAGTTAAAATAATCAGAACGAATTTTGAAACTAACTTGTGAAAATGCGCTGGCATTATTAGATGAATATTTCTGTTTAACTTCAGCTTCTACAGCCGCCATAACAGCTTGCTGTTGAGCTAATACTTCTGGACCAGCTATAGAATCTTTTCTAGCTGTTTCACCACTAAAATAAAACATATTTTAGTGTATGTTTTCCAAGTTTAACATAAATATATAATGTGCTTATAATTGAGCATTGTTAGGACCTTAACAAATATTGTCTCTGTTATAATTATACGTTAATTTTTTGTACTAGTAAGACTTTTATAAAACATATTTTGATGTAACTATTTATTACTATAGTTAGGGAAGAAACTTCAGAGTGTTTTAAAAATATGTTTAATTAATCAAAAGAATGTTGTGAATTATATTTATACTGATATTATTTTATAAAATTGTTTAATAACCTGATATTGTAAAAAGGGCTAAGCCCGTTAAATTTATAAATAAATAAATAAATATCATTTTCTTAAAAAAGAACAAATCACCAGTTCGTAATACTTACTAATTGTTTTCGATTTTTTATACGATGCATATGTTGGCATTTTTGTGACAACAGTTTTAAAGGGAAAGAGTCTTAGAGAGCAAAAGATTTTTTCTAAATTCATGTGACCATTAAATTTTTAACAGAAAATAATAGTTTAAGATGGATTTTTAACAAAAAAAGTCACCAAAATATTATTTGATTTAAAATAATGAAAAAATGTCTAAATATGCACCTGATTTAAATATATTTAAATAAAATGTAGTTCAAATAATAACATAATTACCTCAGATATTATTATAATTTATATTGTCAATAGTTAATTATTATGTAATGAATTGAGTTGAAAAAATAACATTATTTTTTTGTCATTGATAAATGAAAATTTATATCTCTTGAAATTTTACAACACTAATAAATGTTATAATTTTATTATTTTTTAATCGGTGGGTGTATTTTCTTTTAATTTTTATAATTAAAGAATAAATGCTTAAAATTTTTACACACTCACATTAATAAATCGACGAACGAAGGCTGAATATCGGCAACATCTTCCGGTGATTTTTGTGATCCATCGTCGTTAATTTCAGTCGAAGTGGCTGAAACATCATCTTTATTTTTTAGTTCACGATCTTGACCAGACTGTTGTAGTACACTATTTGATTTTGTCCTATACATATATTAAAAGAAGATTTCCATTACCATAAAATTTATGTTTGTGAGCATACAGTGTTTATTAAAAATATTCATTATTCAATAAGCTTTTATTTTTAGCTTTTTAGCTTTTTTAAATAGTTTTAAAATTATTATTACTCTCGAAATAATTTAGGTAATAAATAATCATAACACGATAACATAATGGTATTTCATTTATATATTTTATTTTTTTATACATTATAAATAACTATAAGGTTAGATTATATTGTGTCTATTGCTTATTGAAGGACCTTGCTTGACTGGACAGAGTACTAGCACAATAATATTATCATCAATATTATTGTAAATATTGAAAAGACATATACCATATATTATAAAGATCTTTGCATAAAGCTAACAATTAGACACAGTACCATGTTTCCCTCAGCCACACATCACGTTATCAACCTAAATGAAAGTGTATCGTAGTCTGTATCATAAGTGCACGGTGGCCTAGTGGTAAGATTTGTCTATACGACGCCTTGGGGCGCGGGTACCAATCCCGTACCGTGCCTCTTTTTTTCACATGATTTCTGGTACACTTTCTATACCGGCCGTCAATCCCCGGCGGCCGTGTTAAATACTATTTGAGATCTCAAGTTGGCATAACCAACTACAAATTGAAAAAGATATTGGTATCGAAATTTAATACTAAATAGCTAAGTAATTGCAAATGTGTATCTTCATTTATCAAGTAGTAAGTTTGATCTCAGCCGTTTTTACGCATAAAAAAAATTAGCAATATTTTTATAGGTTGTATATTATTATACAAGGTAGTGTACACCAGTTTAAATATATTTAATTTTTAACAAAGTTTAAAAGGATTTTGATAAAAAATAACATATATAGAAAAATCCCGAGTTTTTTGTCTGTTTTATTATTAACAGAAATTATTTCATATTTTAATAATTCTAAAAACATAAAATTAACATTGTTTGAAATATAGACAAATTTTTTATAAATTAGTTATAGTCCTATACTTGTGTATTAAGCCTAAAAAAGTTACAGTAATGACATAACTTTGTTTTTTGAAAATGACTAACAAAATAAACGTTGAAGGCCTAGATTTATATGTTGATCTTGATGTATCGGTATTAATTTGTATATGTATCTTTTAAACGTAATATATGAAATTAAAAAAAAACCCAGCACAGGGGGTGGTCGCGGCACAGTGGCGACGTTGGATCAAGTATAATGATATCTGACAGTGATTAAAATCACTATGTTATAAAGTTAAAAATGTCAAAAATAAATTCGAGAATGTTCACACAAAAATAGCATTCGGTAGCCATTTTCACCGTGAAGACAAAATAAAGTCCGAATTTTTTTTTTCCATAATAAAGTACATTATTTAGCTAAAATTTAAGATATATATATATATATATAAAAGTGTCAGACTTTCCGGAACATTTTCAAAAGTTAAGTTGAAAAAGTTGTAGTTTTGAATTCCCCCCTGTGGGCAGGTAAAGGGTCAGATTTATAAAAGAATATAACAAATGATAAGTAAAGACATCATACATCTATATAAAAAAAGACAGTACAGGGGGGTCGCGGCTCAGTGGTGACGTGGCATAGTTGGATCAAGTATAATGATATCTGACAGTGATTAAAATCACAATAAAAAAAAAAACGCTTCGATGCAAATCTTTAGATAGTGTTTAATTTTAAAAAAATTGGTGGATTATTCCAAAAGTTACATGATCTGCTAATTCCTTATTAATATCCCTGATTAAGATACGGTATGTCGAATGAAAAATGTATATAAATACTACTTTTCATGAAAAAATTGTATTGATCCATACACTATTCAATAAGTTATAGCATTATAAAGTTAAAAATGTAAAAAATAATATCGAGAATTTTCACATAAAAATAGCATTCGGTAGCCATTTTTACCGTGAAAACAAAATAAAGTCCGATTTTTTTTTTTTTTTATTATTAAAGTATATTACATAAGCTTTAATTTAAGATATATATAGTGTAAGTATTGCCGGAACACTTTCAAAAATTAAGTTGAAAAAGTTCTACTTTCTATATGCATTTTTATGTTTTGAACACCCCCTGTATTAAGAGAAATGGTCCGATTTAAAAAAACAGTATGTCGAATGAAAAATGTATATAAATACTACTTTTCATGAAAAAATTGTATTGATCCATACACTATTCAATAAGTTATAGCATTATAAAGTTAAAAATGTAAAAAATAATATCGAGAATTTTAACACAAAAATAGCATTCGGTAGCCATTTTCACCGTGAAGACAAAATAAAGTCCGAATTTTTTTTTTCCATAATAAAGTACATTACATTAGCTAAAATTTAAGATATATATATAAAAGTGTCAGACTTTCCGGATCATTTTCAAAAGTTAAGTTGAAAAAGCCATTTTCACCGTGAAGATAAAATAAAGTCCGAAATTTTTTTTTTTCATAATAAAGTTTATTACATTAGCTTTAATTTAAAATATATATAGTGTCAGACTTTCCGGAACATTTTCAAAAGTTAAGTTGAAAAAGTTGTCATTTTAAAACCCCCCTGTGGGCAGGTCTAGGGTCAAATTTATAAAAAAAATATATCAAATGATAAGTAAAGACATTAAGCATCTAAAAAAAAAATAATAATATTGATTTGTTCATTTTTGAAAAAGTTATGACAGTTTTAAGAAAATAAAAATTTGAAAAAATGTCGAAAATTAGCGATTTTTAAATTTGTAATTTTTTTGGAGGTTTCCCCCATTTACGGGAAACAAGGGATAATTTTTCAATTTTTGAGGGTAATGTCTTCGACTACATATGATTTTTTATCTTTTGACGTATCATTGAAAGAAATCAGTTCGGTAAAAGCTGTGAAAAAGTGGTAACAGACAAAAAAAAAAACACATCACAGTAAAACCAATACCTTCTTAGCTTCGCATCGAAGCTAAAAAAATATTGGAATACAAATTTTTGTTTTTATTGATTACTTAATTACGTATTTTTCTCATTATTACTAATCAACGCTTATCTTAAAACCTAGAACCAATCTGACCAATCTGATGCCAGAATTGATATCAGCGATGAAATGTAATTTAAAAAAACAATCTGTTTGTTTTTTTAAATAATTGTTATACAGTGTAATTAATTACTCACGAGGTATAATTGTCTGAGTTAGCTGTGAGAGATAAAGGTGACTCGTCCAAGCCTGAAGATGGTAACGCTGGCAACATTCTAAAGGATCCAATCTTTTCTTCCACAATTTCTACTTCAGTTTCTTCAGATTGTGTTCCTCCATTCATTAAATGCATCAATATACGTGAAATGTATCTAAAAACCAATTTTAAATTATAATTTTAAAATAGAAAATTTTTATTAAAGTTAATATTATTTATATGGGATTTAAAGAAAAAATCTCAATAGCGGCATATTTTAAACATTTCTACAGACAAATAAAGAACAATCATATACGTTGCTGACATGATTTTATGTACAGTGAGTAAAAAGAGTTAGCTTTAAGAGAAAATTAAAAACAATTTTCATAAAAAAAAAAATTGGAGGTAAAAAATAAAATATTAAAGATGTTAAAAAATTTAAAAAAATTTGAATGAGATATTTTTAATTTAAAAAATAATTTATCATGAAGAAATATTTATTTGATGTTTTAACTGTCATTAGTAGTATGATCTCAACTATAAAAAAAGTTGTGGATTAAAAAGTATGTTTTGAAAATTTATTTAAAAGAATTTTAATGAGCAAGCTTATTTTTAAGTAAGGAAAAAATATTTTAATTTTGAGATGAATATATTTCTTTATTCAGTAGCGTATTAAATTTTATAGAAGTAAACAATGTTTATGAACTCCACCAATTTGTATGTTTAAGTTAAATCTATTTTACCACAATATTTTCAAAAAACCCCTATGAGTTTGTTAGAAATATTACTATTTTCATATAACTTTATTCATATTTATACCTCAATATATAAAATCCGCTATAGCCTGTATAAAACATCAAATAAAACCATAATTTGAAAAAAGATGTAATCAATTCAATCGTTGTCATTCGTTGCATTTCGTCAATTTTATTTTTTATGTTAGTGGGAGATAATGTAAAAAATAATAATCGGAAACCATCCTTCATTGTTTGAATACTTCTTCTGACTGGATCTTTGGCAGTGCTACAAATATAAATTGAAGAAAATAATATTCAGTTAATAATTTTTAAACTATTTATGAATTCTAACTATATGCAAAGGGAATGTTTTACAGTTTTGAAAATTTAGTATGGGGATAATGCAATACAATACAATGTTATTATTTACTTGTGTTCATCGTCGTCAGAAAGGTATGTATAAGAAGTTTTCCTACATTTGCCACCTCCTATTCCTGAACTTTCATCAACAGCCATCAAACCACTAGCATGTTGCATTTCAAAAATAGCATCTTCACAAAAGTTAACAAATGCCTCAAGTTTTTCTTTATCACCACCTTCGGTTACGATAGAATAGAAGAATGCCCGTTTTGATTCCTGACAAAATAATATATATTTTTAAAAAATGTACAATAAAAGTTTTTAACTTGTAAGTATGTACCCTGATTTGAGGTTTAACCCACTGTTCAATATTTGACTCTTTGATTTCAAAGTATACTCTTTCAATACGTTTGCTACCACCTAAAATTTCAATTCTGCCTAAGAATTGCTGGAAATAGTTAAGAACACTACTTGCTGTTTCTAAAAATCTTGTCAGTCTATGGAATAACATTTAATTTTTAATTTTTAGTATAAAGTTTGATAAACCATGATTTAAACATTATTTACAAAAATACAAACCTTGGCTCATTAGGCATGTGTTCCGATAAATTGGTAAGTAGTACTGCTAGATTAAAACCAATTTCTTTGGCTGGTTCATGGAATTGATCAGTAAAACCTATATAATCAATTTTACCATCGTGGTTAGATTCACAGCACTGCAACATGAATTCAATTTCTTCTCTGTAAGTAATAAAATTTGAATGCAATGTATAAATTTCAATGTTATTTAATATATTTGATCGTAAATAACTTTTTTATTACTCAAGGGCTGATAAATTATTATATATAATATTTATAAATGTAATAACTTACGCAGTATAACTCTTTTGCTGCTCCATTTTCTCTTTGAAGTCCTTAGGATGTACCCAACCATCGTTATTGACATCAATTTCCTAAAAATTATTGACTCGTGAGGAGTAAGAAAAATGAATTTTCAATTAATTTAAAAAATGATAGTTACAGCAAAACTAGTAGAGCTAGTTAAATCCTTTAGTTTTAAGAACATGTCGAAATACTTTAATATTAACTGAAAAAATAAAACAATAATTTATTACACAGTATAATTGTTTGTTCGAAACTCGAAGGATAGTACTTTTTTCAAATGAATAGAATTTTTAATAAATATCATGAGAAATAAATTAAACACTTCGATATTAACATATTTTTAAGTTAAAAATAAATTATAATACTTTTATTGAGAGAGTTATGACTCTTATTTTTTGAAAATATTAATTTGTAAGTTACTTGATAATAATTTATCAAGTAATATTATAGTAATATAACATTATCTTATTATATAATAGAACAAGGAAAAAAAAAAGTTTTTCTGGGAAAACTGCTTAGCGTGCTCCGATTATCAAAATTATTTTTTCAAAGAAAAAGTACTTGGTCACAAGACTTTGAGAAAATTATTGGCGAAGGTCGGAAATTTTTTGCCGTTCAATTGCGAGCATTTTAAACAGTTTTCGAAAAAAACGCTTACTGATGTCAGCGTTTTACGAATTAAGGTTTAAAATATTCACCAGACCCACTCTATGACGTTTTTGAGATATCAAAAAAAATGTAACTCAATCCGTTAATTTTTCACCATTTTACGAGCTTTTTTTTTTAATTCCATGTGAATGGTTTTAATAAGGGTATTAACTCATTTTTGTGCATATGTATATGGTGACCCTTAATTTGTAGAAAATGATTTATTATGAAGATTGGATTTTCTATTCAATTCATTTTTAATACATGATATTGTTGTCATTAATGTATTGACTGGGTTAGATCACTAATTTTTTATTTAGATTGTTATCTTTTTATTTTTATATCATATAAGTTATTTTTATATATTATGTTTAGTTTATTAAGTATACATTTAATTTCTATCGATTTCTTTTAATTATGTTTATAATACAAAATTTGTTGATATATTTAATCTAGTTTATTGTTATATATATCATTTGTTTGAACTTTGGCTTACTTTTCACATGTATTTTTTTTTGCTTTGAACTTTTTTTTTAATGTTCATGCAGAGTTTTTATTAGGATACAATTTTGCATTTGTGCATAACACTATATTTTATATATTTTATCAAGAAATGTTATATATTATATATAGATAGGTTATATATAAATTTAGGACGGTTATGTAATAATAAAAGTTTATATATACAATTTCAAAATAGTACAGTTTTAATAATCTTATTTATCTCATATATGGTGTATTAGTCATTAAATTTATCGTACAAATTGGGATGTATTTATGATAACTATGCTGTCCAATGTCAAATCCCTGTAACCAATATTCTTATCAAAATTGGATTTTTACATAGTTCCAGAAATAATATTCTGTCATTTTTTTTGGAATATTATATAATATTAATAAAATTATTATAATTAGAATATTAATAATTATCGTGTATACAGAGGGCGTATTTAAGGGGGATATGGAAATCGCCTCCCTTGAATCAGTGTTATAAATATTTTTTTAGACGATTTCTAAGAAATATAAACCTAACAACCTTTTTTATAATCATCACTTCGATTTTTAATTAAAAAATTCTATAGCATATTTATCAAAGTAAAAAAAATTAAATACCCTCATAAAATAGTTTCTGAATATGCCCAAGGGAATACTTCAGTAAAAAACGTCAACCTTACATTCAACACATTTAACTATTTTCTCTTTTTGAATTTTCATGATTTTTATAATTAAATTTTCAATATATATTTTTATACTGATTCTGATGTAAATTTTTTCTCGCAAAACACTTATCGTGTCCTGCGTAGCCGGGTTCTCCTACCAGGATCTGTGCCTACTTACGAGGCTTACACGACGAAGATGCATGAACCTCCCAGGGCTCCAGCTAGGTGAAGCCTAGTATTATATATTATTATTAAAAATTAATAATAATATAATGTACTATACATTGTACTTTATTAGTATGTTATTTTATTAGTAGCTATACCTCAACATTTGATGCAGATTCAACTAATGTATCTACCATTTGTTTGCCAATTGTTCCATTCACCACATTTCCTACAAATAATATAAATTATATAAATATAAATAATATAAATATCATATGATATAAACAAGCATAAATAAATAAATAAAACAATAGTCATACCTTCTAACATAGATAACATCATAGTTATCATATCTTTTTGCAAATTTAAAAGTTCTTTTAGTAGGTCAACTTGACTTGAGTGTTTAGAAAGTTTGTCTTGCATATGTGAAAACAAAAATAGAAATCCTCCTACTGCATCCCACAATCGAGAATGAGCCAGAGCTTGTTGATTTTGAGTACACGGACCTTGAATAACCTCAGATAATGTATTAAAAACTTGACTAGCGACGCCAATAGCTTTAAAAAAATTTGCTTTTCCTGCTGGATCAATAAGCTCTTTACTTGAATAGTGCCAGTAAAAGTCCATAATAGATTCCTATAAAAATATAAGTGTCTATCAAAAGATCATAAGTTTACTTTTATTACTCACCTGAAGTCTAAGCAAGTAATCAACAGTACAAATTACAACATTAACAGTAGTCGTATTTCCCGCTTGTGTTCTGAGGTAATTTTGCCAGTCTGTAAATAATAATTTAAATGAAAATGAATTAATTCTGCACTATTCAATATAAATTCTGGATTTAGGAATTAAAACTTTGCATAAATATCAGCATACCAGTAAAATACAACACCCTTTGGGTTCTAAGCAGAGGTAATGATTATACTAATAGGGGCCCATAACCTGCTAGTAATCAATAAAAGCAACATAACATACACTAGCATAGATACCAAGACACAACGTTAATGAAAAAGCAGACTTTCTAGCGTGGAAAGGTGCAGAAAACAACTATGTTGGAGAAATCCCTTAAAGTACTATCCGAAAACATTCATTACCTCTAAGGATCGTTGTGAGTTATAAATAAATATAATTGTACCTAGATTGTGTCCTTCACAGGTTAACTGAATGAACCTAAATAATGTACATGTAAACTCAGCATCATGCATATTTTTTTCACCAGCTGCTCCTTCTGATCCGACACCCAAACCTTCAGCTTTGGTATTTCTTTCAAAAGCATCAAGATCAAGTACACTGCAAGAGTTCATTAAGCCAGCTACTGACGTAAAGAATCCTACGTCTTTCTTTTCTTTTAGATGATTCAACATACCCTTAATAAAAAAAGTTATTAGATAAAAATAATAAGACAAAGAATAATAAAATACCATTTGAATATCTAAGTTGCCACCTCGCAAAATAGCTATGCCTAATTGAAGAGTTTTCATTACCATCTCACTTGGGATTCCTTTACATGCAGATATATGAAGTAACACCATTTCAGCAACCCCACGATTAGCCAATCTTGCTTGATGGAATAGGAGTTTTTGTTTCTCCATTTCTTGTTCCTAAATGAAGTTTAATTGAAGATCAACCATCAAAAACTAAAGTCATTATAATTTACATGTATAGAAGCGTTTCCTTCTTCTTCTCCATTTGCATTGGCACTACCACCAGATAATTCATCTTCATCGTCGCCACCTTCCTCTTCTTCTTCACCACAAGATCTATTTTGTAGTAAATTACATTTATTTGTTTAAAAATATGAAACTGTTGTCTTTTAAAGTTTTAAAAGAAATATTAATATTCATTTTAATGACAGTTAAAATACAAATTTTATAATTTATAAATTCTTTATACCTGGCTAAAATATCAGCGTAAGACATGTAAAGCGGATCTTCTTGCAATGCACCACTTCTTTCAGTCATTGCACCTCTGCAAAATGTAGTTACCATTTGGTTTAATGGATCTGCCTTTCCTTCGTCTTGTTCCTTATCACGCTTCTTTAATTCAGCTTCTTCAAATGATTGCTGCAGCATCAAAATTAATAATAAAAATAATTACTTTTTAAAATAGTTTTCTTACCGTCAGGTCTTCTATCATCACTTCTTGGCCAATATTCTCATCTTGAAGCCATAGTTCGTAATATGACCGGACAAAAATATTAACTGCTCGATGTCTAAAATTAAATTAAATCAAATTTTATGAAATAAAAAAAATTTCTATTGTGTATTTAAGTAGTAAGCATGCCATTAATTAAAGGGTTTAGATTTGTTTATTATCGAACGTTAAAATTGACACAAAAGTTAGTATGATTTGTCTAAGTATAATATTATAATATTATATTTAATAATATTATATTAAATTATATAATAATATTATATTTATACCAAGTGAATGCCTATTTGTTAGAGAAATACCTTCGTATGCTGTGTAACGGAGACATTCTAAGACAGGCAATAGCAGCCCGTTTCCTGGCCACCGATAATAAGGTTCTCCATCCCAGACGGTTCAATTGGTTATTACTGTGAGGCAACTACAAGACGCATACAGGTTCAAGAAAAAAAACATTGTTATCAGGTGCAAACCAACAAAATTAGGTAAAATACATAACATCACAATTAATTTAGATGCTTCAATAATTTTATAAAGTACACTATTGTAAATACTAAAAGATGATAAGTGTTCTATTAAAATAATAACATATACCATATAAAGTGACGAATTTAGGGAGAGAGGCTAAAATAGATAAGTTCCTCCATTAGCTGTATTGAACCTGAATTTTGGATGAAAAGCTACTAAAAATAAGGCCATCAAAAAATGAGTTAGATATAAGTTCCTCGGCTTATGTTCGAAGATCGTAAAAACTATTAATGGGCCCTTATTTAAAAGTTTTTGGTATGATATTGCATTTAAATATATCGATTTATAAGATAATAAATATCATGACTATAAAAGTCTTTCCTTATTTTTCATATAATTGAAACACGTTTGTGTAAATAAAAAAAAAAAAATAGAAAAATTAGGAAAAAAGGAAAAGTTTATGAACAACATTACAAATAAAAATAAAGCCCGGAATTTATAAATTATAATTGAGCCAATTTAAAGCATTCTAAGTTTATGCAATTTTGTCATAGGTTTATATAAAAACGTAGATATATTATTCATTGAGAGGAGGATTATATCCTTTAATCCTCTCCAAAACTATAAACTGGGTAATAACACATTACTAAATTTTTAAGATCATTAATACAAAATTTGTGCTGTTTAATGGTGTACTTGAAATAATTAAATAACTTACTGAAATTTATATAATAAGGGCTGTAATTATTACGTTTAAAACAAAAAATTTCAAAAAATCAAAAAAATGTAATACAACATTAATAATAATAAAACTTATAACATAAATTGTTATATTTAATCCATTTTACAAGAGAAAAAATAGTCGTTTTCACCTTATTTAAATTATGGCAGTGAATTATATTATAAACAATTATTTATTGGTTAACATAAAATGTAATAACTTTTATCAGAAAAATTCAATAAAGTTTTCATATAAAAAATTTTAAGTATAAAAAGTTAAAAATTGACCATTTTTATCAAAAATTTTATAATTTTTGCCTTTTATGTCAAATAACACTACATATAAATCGAGGTTTTGGATAATTCTTATTTTTTCATCTTTAGGTAAATTGTATAAACTTTAATTGTAAAGTCTTAATTAGCCTTAATTTAATAATTAATTTAAGCTTTGATGTTGAATTAAAAAACTCATAGTTTTTGGAAAATTTTAAAAAGTTTAAAGAAAAAAAAAATGACTTAATTTTAATGCTTTTATTGTACCCGGGTTAATTATTGGATTTCAAAAGTTTGAAAAAAAAAACATATTAATGTTTAAGTACTGCTTTAAATATATCACTATGATCCGTTTCATCATTTTTAAAACAACTGTTTCAATATAAAGTGAAAAATATCAATAGTAATTATTTTATAACAATTTTTGTCAAAAAATATGTAATTTTGTGAGACATTTCATTTTTTTTCTGACTGGGATTATGAAAAATGTTTCAAAATTAAGTGTTAAATATTTTTTTAATTTATCCCTTAAACCTAATAAAAATTTTAAATTTATTTATTTTGTGACTATTTAAATTATGTGACTAATTAAAAAAAATTACCTAGTATTAAAATACGTTAAACAAACAAAAAATGTTTAATATTATTCCTGAGTAAAACAGATAGTGTACTCGATTGTTAACGCATTAAAATTGAATGAATAGATAGTACATCGGACATAAACAATACATTAAAATAATTGAAAAAACAATACTTTTGTATTTATTTAAATTTGGTTCCAATTGAGTATTCAAGGTCCAATAAGAAATGTATGATTAATACGAATTATTAATACTAAAATAGCTTTAAAGCTTAAGTACTAGTGTTAATTGTTTAATGTTTAATGTTTAATGCACAAAATGTTAAAAAAAAATTAAATTATGATTTCATGCAACAAAAAAATTTAAATATAGAATTATAAAGCATCAAAAAGACCTGGTCAAAGCGTGGAGTGAGAGTTGTCGGAAACAAGCGATAACGGCTCTCTTACGTTGCGTCGATACAACTGATCGATAAATTGCCTTGCTTTGAAGCTGGGGATGATCAATCTAATAAAAAAAAAAATCATACTAACTAATTTTATTCTAATTTATCTACTTCTCTATAATATTATTATGTAATTTGAAAAAAAATATATGTAATTTATGATGGCCTATGGTTAAAGTGATCACAACATTATAACAATATTTTTTTAAATATATTTTTATAATAGAATATAATTTAGTCATCAAAATTTTGTTAAAATTCAAATATTTATTTCATTATATTTTAAGATAATTAAAAAAAATTACTGGAGCCTATTTTTAATGAAAAATTAATATTAAAATTCAAGCTACAACTAAAAAAGTGGATGCGTGTTATTTATTAAATAATTAGATATCTACATATACAACTCCGTATTTATTAAAATAACAAACGTACACCATTGATCATTCTAATAAAAATTAAAAATGAATCATAACTTAGCTTTAATAACCTCAATTAAATATATTGGACACTTTAATTTTTTTATTTGACAATTATACCCAGTGGAACCATTTATTTTACAATACATATATTACAAGTATTAAGCACTGAAGAAAATAGCTAGAATATTATCTTTAAAATTGTATGTTGTACAAAAATAATTAATATATATATATATATATATATATATATATATTAAAGTATTTACCATGTGTAATCCATACAAAACTTTTGCCATAGCTACGATTCTATCAGCCACTTCGTCTACTTGCTGTGGCTTAATTTCTATGGAATCCTTTTTGTTACCCAACTTTGAGTATAAATAGTGTTGCCAAGACATTTCATCAGCTGGATCCAATTTGTCGGGGAGTGTAAGTTGAGTTTTGACAAACTGAACTACTTCATAGTCTGGCATTTTCTAAATAAAAATTACTTTAAATAAATATATTCTCAGATAATGTTTCTGTTAAGTATAGTTTTACCTTCAAAAATCGATCCTTGCAGTGTTGTACTAATTCTTGCTCACGCCCCGCGAATAAATTTAATCCAACAGGCAAAAGTCTTTTTAAACAAGCTACCATCAAAGATGCTTGAATTTCTTTTTCTTTATCTCTTTTTTTATCTCTATGTTTTTTCTTTTTCTAAATACAAATAAAAAAAAAAAACATCATAGTAAAATTAATACCTTCTCCGCTTCGCATCGAAGCTAATATATTTAAATTTTTGTTCATTTAAACTTTTTAGCAAATTTATTTCAAACCTTTCCTACGGATGCACCAAGTGATGTGTCAGATATAACGGCTGACCTTCGCGATGCAGTTGGCATAATAAGTATCATGTTATCAATCTCATTGACAGAAATGAAATTTTGTTCTTCTCTCAAAAAGTACTGCGATTTCGACCATATGTTAAATATTTCTGATACGTGATTATACAGATCTTCTGCTTCTACAACATTATTGCGTAACCAATGATTGCGTTGGAGATCAACGTATTTAATCAAAAGTGGATAGAATGCATATATATCCCTGACTACCAACATCCAATCTTCTTGTATTTGCGCTTCAATCTAAAAAAAAAACTTTACGATTATTATTATGGATGAAAAAATATATTCAAATAGTATAAAAAAAGATACGTTTTATTTTATTAGTAATAATTTTAACATGTTTACCTGAGAAGTGTCTTCAGTAGATGATTTAATAAATCCTCTTAATGACTCCTCTTTATGATATAATGTCTCTGTACGCTTTTTAACACGTTCAGCTAACGGTAAGAAGGGATCTTTCAAAAGTTCTTCGGATGAATTTATTATAATTTGTTGTGTATAAGCTGCAAAAAACATATCAATTATGGATATTTATTCGTAAAGTTTTACGCATAAAATCTATCTTTATGTATTCAAAAAATTATTTTGTGATTTCACAGTTTAAATTTGTGTTTTCATTTAAATATATTAGTTTATTGTTAAGCCCGTAATTTTAATCACAAGATAACACATGTAACTGAAATTGTCATATTTTCAATACCTTAAAAAAAAAATATCAATGTTTAGTTACATATAATCATTGCAGCATTAATACATTGTTGATACGATATAGTTTAAATAATCTAGAAAAAAAAATAAAATATAGAATCTAAAGAAATTAGTGTAATTTGTTTGACTTAAAGATTTACATTTTGTCCATAGTTTTTATATATTTTATAAAAAAATCGTGTTTATTATGCTATTATATAACTTCAATATTGTTTGTGTGTTCTAATTTATTAAAACAATAAAAATTTAATATTAATTCAACATTTTTAGTATGAAAAATAAAAACTGAACTAACCAGCTATTTGAGTCATCCACTGAGCATTATCATTTCCGATATTTTTTTTAATAAGTTTCAAAACATTTTTTAATAAGCAATTCATGTGTTCACTTGTCACCATTGTCACGTGATTTCTATAATTATCATGTACAATTTTATTTTGCATAGGTAATGTAACTATAATAATTTTAACAATTACCCAGAAGTCAAAGCCACATTATCTGGTCCTTGGGCCCACCAGAATGGTAAGTACGAACATAATAAGGGTAAGACAACATCTATTATATGTGGTGCATCTACGTAAGTTTTATCAGATTCGATAAACTGATCAACTTCATTTAGTATGGCTTCTAAAGTAGGCATAGTGCCCTCCATGCGTGACATAATATCTAAAAAATATTTTAATTTATTTTAAATTTATCCAATATATATTTTAAAAGGTAGAAATAAATGTTAACTTATTTACCTTGAGCTTCAAGAGAGTGATCTGCTATGCGGTTGAGTAAAGAATATTGATTGTGTTTGTTTAGATGTGGTTCAAGAAAAGCAACAGGAAATGTTGAACTAAACGCACCAAGACAACTACCAAATGCAGGTCGATGCCTTTCCAATTGAACTTTCAAATATTTTCTAAATACAATATTTAATTATTTTCTAGTGATAAATCGAATATGTTCAAATTAAAAAGTGAAATATAGCAGGGATACAATTAAGTGGAATTAAGTTATTTTTTGGGATTATTATTAACTGGTATATGAAATTGATTAAAATCCCTGTTATAATACAATAATATGACTATTTAAACAAATTAAACGATTTTCAAGTTTAAATGGCGTTATTTTGGAAGACAAGTTATCAGAAAGTCTTTATTTTTTTAAAGCGTATAATACATTAAGTAAGTTATAATTTGATTTAATTTTGAACTATGTAAATGGTTTGTTCCTAAGCAAAACATTTCAAAATCTATCATTTTTACCAAAAATTGTATAATATTTAGCTTAAATGGCTAATAACTCCTTTGAATAGTTTTTCTTTTTTCATCTTAAAGTACACTGTATTAGACTTAAAATTATAAGCCTTGATGTAGAATTAAAGAAGTCAGAGTTTTTGGAAAATTTTAAAGAAAAATATTGACAGGTAAAATCAATAACTTGTCAGCTAATATGATGGGTCAAGAAGATTCATTAAAATATGACGCTTCGTAAATTTTATATGATAAAACCTAATTTATTACTATGAGGGTTTTATTAAGTTATTTACAATACCTGTCGTGTGTTAAGGTAATGTCCGTTCCCAGAGTATATAAACTACTGAGTATTTTGTATGAAGCTACTTGTATTTCATCCACTGTTAGAAAAAAAATATATAATGACTTATAAATTAATTCGATTTAATTTTTACTGAAGACTTACATAAAAGATCATTTCCATATTCACAGGCAGCTAAATGGTCAAAAAGGGATGATAGAACAGGTAAAATAACGTCGGTAACATAATATAAAGAAGTGGAAGTTTTTAGGTGTGTTCCCCGAAGATAACAATACCTACTCTATAATTTGAACAGTATAAAATAAATAAAAAATTACTATATAAAATTTATTCCTAAACTCACATCATGTAAGTTTTGGATTGTATGTTCCAAGTCATCAGCAATGTTATGGAAAAATGTTAACATTGAAGTTCTTATAAATTCTGGACAATTTTTCACCAAAGACCTATTAAAACACATTATAAAGTTAAAACTAGTTTATAAAATAAAATGTAAAATCTATTTACTTGGCGTCAATAGCTTTCACAAGTACTTGAAGACATCTGACTGTAATACGGACATCTGCTCCAAATGCTGTTAATTTGGATCTTAATAGATTTGCCAACTTGCAAAACAAACTATAATTTAAGAATAAAAATATTAAATAAAGTTTTTTTGTAAATTAAGTAAGTATACCTAGCCACCATTTCTTTTTCTTTTAGAGATGCAGCTCCTAAAATACTAGAAGCTGTTGCTACTGTAATAAAATAGTTACGATGAGTGCTGAAATATTTTTCTACGAGTGGTAGAACAACCTATTATTTTAGACAAAAATATATGAATCTTATAAATGCATAATATGAAATAATATATACTTTTGAGAAGAACTTTATGTCTCGTGTACAGATTTTGAAACTAGATCGTCTACTAAAAGTGTCAGAAGGTTTTAAAAGTTTCATGTTAATTGAGGCACGATCAGTGTACTGAATTAATTTTTCGAGAAGACTGTATGAAAATCGTAGCTCGCCTGTAGAAGCTGCTATCAATTGTTCAGCTTCGGTTGGTCCTCCATTATGATTTGGTCTAAAAAATAAGTAAGAATTAATTATGAATTTTAAATGAGATAGTTTTAAGTTTTCACGTTTTTACCTGTGTAGTTTATAGCCTTGATACTGAAGATACTTTAGGAATTCTTGGGATCTTTCTCTATCTTTTTTCTTTTCTTTATCAGTTAATAAGTCATAAGGTACTAATTGATTATGGATTCCTCCTCCTATAAAATCGCATTTTTTATTATGCGATTATATTAACAAAAAGAGTTATAACAATAAAAATAATTATAGTTATAATTACCACATATCATAAGTTCTTCTTTCTTTTTTTTGGCCCAAATATCATGAGAGTTTTCAGCTAGCCGTTCAGCCATATTTTGCATTTCTCTGGTTAGTGTTAGATTAGTCATATCCAGTGGATTCGGATGGTAATTGAACGGTGTTAAGTTTTCCTAAATAATTCCAAAATATAGCAATGATTTCATTTATTTCAGTATAGTTATTAATTAAGCTTACATTTGGTTTCGACTGACGACGAATTGATCCTCTATTACTAAGTGGCTCATCACTTTCAGAATGTTCAATACTCCAACCAATAGCTAATAAAGCTTTTAAAGCTTCTCTCACCGGTTCCTTGTATAATTCCTTCTCCTAATAATATAGAAAATGAATTATTTTCCATTTAAAATATTAATGAAGTAAAAATACTCCTTACGTATTCACTCAACATCATATATGGTTTAAGGCGTGGATGAGTTTTATTAACATCATTGTACTGTTCTCCGTAAATCCAAGAATTTTCTAATTTTCGACTGGCCCAAGCATCATGATAATGTTCAGAGAATTTTTGTACGATTGTATTTAAATCGTTATCCAGTATAATACTATAAAAAAAAAAATTAAAATTTTCTATGCAGATTTTATTTCAAACAGATTTTGACATCTTTAACAACTTTTAATCCAGAGAATATTTTGCATTAGGTTTTTTTAAAATATTTTTTATAGTTTTAAATTACATTAAATTAATATAAAGTTTTTTTTATTTTTTGTCTTTAATAAAAAAAAATTTTGCTATGATGTTTTTTTTTTTTTGTGTCTGTTACCACTTTTTCTCAGCTCTCACCGAACCGATTTCTTTCAACAATACGTCGAAAGATAACAAATCATATGTAGTCGAAGACATTACCCTCAAAAATTGAAAAATTTTCCCTTGTTCCCCGTAAATGGGGGAAACCTCCAAAAAATTACAAATTTAAATATTGCTAATTTTCGAATTTTTATTTTCTTAAAACTGTCATAACTTTTTTAAAAATGAACAAATCAATATAATTTTTTTTTATATATGCATGATGTCTTTACCTATTATTTGGTATACTTTTTTTTATAAGTTTGACTCTTTACCTACCATTTTAGGCATTTAAAATGACAACTTTTTCACAAAAACTTAACTTTTTCAACTTAACTTTTGAAAGTGTTCCGAAAAATTTGATACTTTTATATATATCTTAAATTAAAGCTAATGTAATGTACTTTATTACGAAAAAAAAAAATTCGAACTTTATTTTGTCTTACGGTGAAAATGGCTACCGAAAGCTATTTTTGTGTCAAAATTCTCGATTTTGTATTATATATTTTTAATTTTATTATGCTATAAATTTTTGAAAAATGTATGAATCAATACAATTTTTTCATGAGGAGTAGTATTTATATCCCTCTTTCATTCGACATACTTTATCTTAATCAGGATATAAATAATGAAATAGCAGATCATGTAGCTTTTGGAATAATCCACCAATTTTTTACCAATTTTGTAAGTGGAGTACATGTACACCAGTACGAATTGTACTCACCATACTCTTTTTTTTAACTGAAAAAATTATATTTAATCAAATTAGTACATTATTAATACTTATATCACAAGTTTTTAATTTTTCAAGAAAGTAAATTTTAGGGTTTTGTTACTATTAAAATAATAAATAGACAAGATTTTATTTCACATATCCACGTTAACATTATTTTTGATAACTGGAAATAATTTTCTGTAATATACAGTATGGTGCCCCTTATTTATAAAATTTAAAAATTACAAAGTGCCACCCCCTAGAATTATTCAAATACACGAAAAAATAAATTGTACAAAATTTGGAGACGATTGGTCAACTCGAAGACGTGCCCCAAGGGGGTTAAATATAACACTCCAAGGGTGATTTTTTAGTTTTTTTTGTCTATCTTAAAAACTTTAGCTTTTGTGAAAAAGTTTATTTGGACTTTTTTGTAGGTATTCGAATAATTCTAGGGGGTGGCACTTACAAATATTAAAAAAAAAACCTCTCATGTAGCTAAGGGTCACCCTAATATACAGTGTTCAGAAAGTAAAGAAACATATCAATTGTTACTAACAATGAAAACAATAGAAACCCGTTTTCTTACTTATTGAACATTCTGTATATGGTGTTCAATACGTAAGCAAACGAAAAATATACAATAAGGACAAAAGGCTGACTATATTTCACATAAGATATAATAATAACAAAGAAATAATAAATATAAAACTAAGCTACCTATTGGTATTGATTGGCTGTGGGTTGTATGGTCCATCAGTTGGTCCTTGAATATTCCCTTTGGATCCATACCATTCATCGTCATAATTTTTAGAAAGAGAATAATCTGGAGGTAAAGCGCATCCAATAGCTGATAAACATGGTAAAGCTTTTCCAAACAATTCTGGTTCGTAATCCTAAAATTTTATTAGAATTAAAAATAATATTTATTTAGTAAGGTAAAAATACTATAATCAAAATACTAATTCATTATATTACCATTTTAGATAGTGAATCAAATATATTACTGAATAACATCATTGTCAATCTTTTCTCTTCATCGCTAGATGCACCATATAATCCTTGACCCCCTGTTGATCCATAATATTTTGCACATCGATCATAATGTAATGTCAATAACTATAAAATTAATGTAAAATAAATCAGTTATTTCAGTATAGTATCAAGATAAATTATACTATTAACGTTTTAGATGTAAACTTATTTTGTGAAAAATAAAATATCTTGAAAATAATTGAAAATGCATTTATTTTATATTTTGATTACTTACACGCAAAGCAACAGTTGTATATTCAGATAAATTAGATACATCAACAGTGAGTTTCCTTAAAAGTTTCAAAAGCATGCTAGGTTGCATTTGACTAGAAAATAGAGTATAATTAAATGGTATTTATAATTTTAACTCTTAACTCTTTAACTTTTAATTTTCAAAAAATATATTACCTTGTTAGGGCCACTAAAAAGTCAGATACAGCTTCTCGTTGACCTTTTGTTAACATTCTGTTCTTAGACAATCTATATACAGTATGTAGTGTAGCATCCAGTAAGTTGGCATAATTATCGGATTCACTATAAAACTTGGAGTGTCCAATAAGAAGTGGTAATACTGAATTTCCAATATATCTATTCATTGCAAGTGCCATATCAGATTCTAGTCCATCATTCTAAACATCGTAATTAATAAAAAGTTAAAATTAAACTAAAAAGTGTATCAATATAAATATACTCTGTCTAGCATAGTGGCAGTACGTAGATCAGGTAAGAAAGCCTCTTCAAGCAAAGTAAAAAATAACTCTTGTGACTCAATGCCGTACACGCGTTCCAAAAACAAAACTACACTCTGTTTATGTCCAGGGATCAATCCTGATGGCATATCACTTTTCGGTCGATCTTGTCCAGCTGCTGGATTTTGTAGAATAAACCGTAGGCTTAGAACACCATGTAGGTCTTCAAGAGGTACAAGAGAACGAAGAATAGCTCGTGCTCGCAAGGATTCATTTTTACCCTAATTTTAATTATAACAGTAATGTTGATATGATATTTAAACACCAAAAGTAAAATAATTATGTATATCCTATAATAATAACAAAATTATATGAAAAAATAGTAATAGTCTCGGAAGGCATAAAAACTATGCATCATCATGGGTAATTGTGAAGTGATGATAAAAAAAAACAACAAAATCATAGAATAGTAATTTGTTGATTGGGTTAAGTCTAGCTCTTATAAAACGTAAAGAATTTCGCATATTGTATCATTGGCATTTTAAAATAATTTATTATTTTTATGTCATTCTTTTAGTGATATAGTATACGAGAACCCTATGTATTTTATTAATGCGAGACTCCACTAAATTAGCAAATTACCGTTCTATGATTTTAATGTTTTTTTTTTGCTTCACAAGTACCCATGAAGACGTATAGTTTTTATGCCTTTTGCGACTATCTCTATTTTTTTCATAAAATTTTGTTATTATTATAGATAATTTTATAATATCTTTTTTGAAAATTCTATCATTATCCAAATTATAATTTATAAAAATTATAATAATAATAATTATTGAGAGAAAGCAAATCATCTTATAAAATTATTTTATTTTTAATTTTTTTATAATATTCTGAAAAATCTACCTTTTATAAATATACATTAAAAAGGAAAATGAAAAATAATTTAAAATTATGTTTTCTAGAAATTATTTGCTGTTAAATTAAAAAATATTACAAATTTTGGCAAAATTAACCGCTTTTTAATATTATAGATTTTGTAATATTTTGCATTGTAACAAAATGCCTAATCATTCTAAATTATTTTTAATTAAAGCTTATTGTAAGTTGGATTAAAAAAAGGATAATGATCCAGTGATCTTGTATGTAATTAAAAGTTGAAGTAAATAACCATAATATTTTTGTTTGTTAAGTTAAAATGTTTTTATATATTTTAAAAATACATTGAAGTTTTCATGCCAGTGATTTTATCACTGTTAATTATTAGTAATCTAAAAAATACTTTAACTTCATTTTATTGGATATCTACTGTACTTTACTTTTTTTTTAAATTTATTTATGTTTAACGTCCTCTCGAATATCTATTGATTGTAATACAGAGGACGGTAAAATTTACATTGCAACGAAATAAAATTTCTTTACTTTGAGATCGAGACACGACGAGTTACCGTTTTAGCTAGTATGGTGTCAAATAAGTTAAATACCTGAGCTATTACGGACAAATCTGGTGCACATCTTCCCAGTAAATCAACTAATGTACAGTAAAAGTTAAGTATTGCTGCACCAGTATCGATGTAATCTTCATCTTCTTCGGATTCTGGAAGTGGATGTTCAAGTTGCACATTTTCTTGATTACCAGATTCTTCAATAAACTTTTTACGTTCAGCTATTTTTTCTGACATCTGGAAGAACAAAAAGTCAAATCACGCGATTACTTACCTTCGTACTGAACCAATTTTGCTGATCGATAAGTCAAAAGATCAAATAACGTATCTAGTTGAAGCTACCAGCACCATACTTTTGAACATTTTCTCTTAGTTTCGGTAATAAAGAGAAATCTTCCAAAAAATTACAGTTATCATAAAACAACCAATGTTGATATAGTTATTTTTCGTTTATATAAAAAGAACTTTTGGAAAATTGGACGGATTACAACGACATTTTTTTTTGATAATAATTTTTAAATTTGCTTTTCTGACGACATATTTTAAAATATAATCATTAAACACCAAAGTTCTACTTGGGATTAAAAAATATATCAATATTTAGTTCTTTTCATTTTTTATAGTGTTCTAAAAATCTACATTATTTAAATAAATCAAGTTAAAAATAATAAAATGTACTTATTATTGTAAATGTTATTATTTTAACTTTATTTATCTTAATAAAAAAAGAAAAAAATCCAAATTTTGATTTCTAAAGTTATCGGATATTAAAACCAAAAATTATATATTTTTTGGTAAAAATGGATTTTGAAGTATTTTGCATATCAATTAACCGTCTAAATGATTCAAAATTGAATCAAATTTAAGGCTTTTATAAATACTATACAATTAAAAAAGAAAACGTTCTGTAGGCATGTCTTTTATGAGTAATCGGCATCTATAAAAGAATAATCCTGTAATTTTTGGTGGATATAAAAATTAACTCTCACTATTTGAATAATGCTTGGTTCAAAATAAAATTTTTAAAGACAATATTTTAGACAAATATGATTGATTTAGCACGTTTTTTTTTTTATAAAATTACAATCATTAATCTGGATATTGTGTGGGAAGAAATACATACATTTTTTTTTATTTCAATTTTTGTTAATATTTCAGAAAAGTTCATTTTTTAAATCTAAATAATGAAATTAAAGATAGTACAATGTACTAAAAATTTGAAATTTGAAATAATTTAGAAAAAAATTATCATTTTCAATAAAAATTACATCATTTTCAATTTTAGAGATTAATTACTCATAAAATATAAGTTATTAGGACATCTCTCTTTTTTAATAGTATAAACATTAGATAAGATTTAATTTGAGTTAGTTTAAAATAATGTAGATAATTTTTTGTTGTGTAAATACTTAAAAAACGATTATTTATATCGAAAAACACATAATTTTTGGCTTTAATGGCCAATTACTCCCAAAAAACAAGATTTCGAATAGTTAAACATTTTTCGTCATAAAGTACATTGTATTATCTTTAATTTGATATAGATTTAAATAAAAATAATTATGTCTATATTAATGTTTTTATATCCATTGTAGGTTTTTGAGTCTTTTCCCTTTATTATAGACATAATGGTAAAAATTTTGACGCTTCAGGTTTCACCTAGCATTTGTGATTTTTGTCGTATTGTTAAGCAAAATTGGTACAGTAGATAAAGATCAATTTGTATTACTAAAAAAAATTACGGAAGTGTAAAACTGATAGTCATATATAAGCAACTAATTGCATATATAAGTTAAAAAATTAACTTTCAGTTATATTTATTAAACAAATAAAAATATCTAGTATCTACGATTATTTATAAAAACCTTATTAGCTTCAATAATGGCTTGTAAAAGTCCTTCGCCTTCACCTCTTAAAGCGGGGCCTAAGCATTCAGGCCGTCGGATTAGCAATCGAATAACCAAATTGGCATTTTCTTCAACACTTTCTCCTAAATTTGTAAGTTTTAATTTCTCATTTAGTAATATCATAAAAGTTATATACTAATATAAATAATTAACAAACCATTGACCCATACGCAAAACCTAAGGAAATCCAAATATCTTTCACCTTCCACTGGATCCCAGCCTAGATCTGGATATCCTTTTTCTACAAGTTCCGAGTTTGATTGCAACCCACATCGAGATAAATATATAGCTATTTTTTCTAAGTAATGCTCCCTGTAAATATTAATTTATTTTTTGTAATATTTTCTTTGATGTAAAAAGGCATAAAAAGAATTGTATGCTATAAAAAAGAAATCACATCTATAATCTAAGATCGAACAGATAAAATTTAATTTGTCATTATTTTAAATCTGTTTTTTTTTTCATTTTTAATGTTTACATTATAATATTTAAATAATATTTATATTAAATTTATTATATTCATAATGTTTAATTATATACCTCAATGCCAGAGCTAATTCTGTATTTTCCATTAAAGATGAATATGCTACATCTAGAGGGGTACTTCCACGTAGAGATGGTCTAGATAATAAAATATTACTGTTTTCTAGTAAAAATGAAAAATGATCAAACATGGCTTTTTGATTTTGTCTTGAAGTACGGCAAAAGTAGCATAAAAATCGGCAACATGCCACTACCATTTCATGCGATGTGTCCTAAATTAATAAATGACACATACTAACATGACAGTATAAGTATTATGAGTTCAACGTTACTTTTTCTTTAGGTATAATTTCTCCATCTTGTCCAGTCACAGGGCTATTGCTGCCTGGTTGAGATTGCGCTTGAGCTCTTCTGCCAAGTGTATTCATCATAACAGCCATTACATTTTCATGCATTCGAAGAACTCTAATTAAGTCGGGATGTTGGAAAAACGTGTGATTGTTGACTAATTTCCTATGATAAAAAAGCGCTTGTATTATATAAATTGCTATAGATGAAATGTAATTTATATGGAAAATACCAAAGTCTTTCACGCATAAGTTCTTCTTCTTCTTGTGACATCTGGACGGGTAATAAAGAGCGGATTTGACTTAATCCCACCCACATTTGAGCTACATCCTCTTTTGTTTTACTATTTATAACATATGTTTTTTCTAAAGCTCGAATTAATTCTCCAACACTGTCATATTGCCTAACTAATAAACTAAAGAAAAAGTATAGTTAGTTTAAATAACTATAAAAAAAAAAGTGTATATAATTTACCTAAACATTTCACGAACTAGCTTAGGCGTTTCAATTTGCGTTTCTTCAGCCCATGATACTATTGTAGATATCAAAACTTTACGAAATATTTCTTGAAAAAAAAAATTATGTTCTATATTTATATAAGGTGGTGGTGATGACATTAAAATCATTAAGCTTAAATAAGTTTACTTGTTTAAAATGTTGACGGGTTTATAAATTTCATATAATATTAAAAATTTTAATACATAATATAAGTAAATTCAATAAATATTTTTTATTTACCTTCTGGGATTTTTTTTTGTGGTTCATCTAATTCTTCTTCGTTTTCTTCGTCTTTTACTGCGCTTATAAAATTATAAAATTGTTTCATTTTACCTTCTTTTGTTTTATTGATTACTGATGGCTAAAACCATAATTTAAAATTAATAGTTTATTGTTAATGAATAATATTATTATTCAGATTATTTTATTAGTTGTACGATATTATACAATTAAATAGAAATGATGAGGTTTACTGATTAGAACAACGAATAAAATTTTATTTTCTAATTAAAACAAGTGAAAAATAATAATAATGACTAACGAAGAATCATAGCTATCAATTTCTAATTATGTATCTTACATCTTCTTCTGGTTCTTGCAAAGCCACTAAAGATACTTGTGCCATTAATTTAGTATTGAAATAGTTCATTCTTTCTCGTAATTCATCTCCAATTAAAGAATTTTCTTTGTCATCATTATCTAGATGTTTGAAACTTAGAATGGCATTCATCTGTAATAAAATATTAGTTAAATAAATATTCTGTTGTTATTTGGTACTTATTTTGTACTTGTTCTCTAGGTGGGCAACGAAATTCTCTAGTTTTTTTTGCTGCCAATGCTGACGGTAAATCTGATTGCTTAATTTCAATATACCTTCTCAATTGATCCTGGAAATTAACAAATAAATTAATACATATTTAATAAAGTTGTTTTTTTAATTTATTACTATTTGAATGTCATTCACAAACTGATAGCTAAATGCGATAATGGATTCAACTCTATGCCTCAATTGAATATCACATAAGTGATGTAATAAATAACACATTTGTAGTTTTGCTCCTTCAGCCATTTTCATGTGTAGCAAACCTTTTCTGTGTTCGTCAGGACCGTCTAGAAAATGTTTACATAAATAATTGATAACAAGATATACTAAAAAGGAAAGTCATATAATAATAGCTTTAATTTTTAGACAATTTAAAATTAACATATTTTTCAAGGTATATATTTTACTAAAATTATTATTTAAAAAGTGAATGTATATTTAATGTATTAAATTTATGTAACAGTTCGTTCATAATTTTATTAATTTTTGTAAAATATATTTAAACGTTGAATTAAATTGATATCTATGTCAAAAATATAGACTTTTAAATTAATACCTTTACGGAAATTTGAATCCCATGTTTCGGGATTGACCATAATTAATAATTTTTCAACATCTTCATCTCGCAGCATCCCGACTAATAAAAGTCGATCAACAAGTTTTAGAAGTGGTCTAAAAAAGTATAACTATTGTAAAAATTATACCTCAGACAAATGTTTATTTAATAAGTCAGTTTTTTTTAAACTTACAAAAATAAGTTTTCATTGGAACCACCTATTGGATCTCTATTGTGAACTTGATTAACTGAAACTGCTTCTTCAAGTGCTGACATAACATATTCTCTTACGATTTGTAAAGGGAAGTATGGACTGTAAAGATTTCGAACATTTTCGATTGAATCTCTGTACATACAGAAATTAATTAATTTATTAATTTTAGTCAAAATGTATTTAAAGTAGGCTTATTTAAACATATACGTAGTTTATATTTTAGTTTTAGAGTATTTTGAAAAATTAATAAATGAAACATACTCCAAAGATGTTTTAGGAGACATTTCGTGGAACGATGGGCTAAGAAATTTAATTATAGAGGAGGAAGTATGGGAGGCTGTTAAGTCGATGAAAAAGAAAAAAACAGTAGAAAATGATAATGTACCAGTGAATCTATGGAAAATTTTAGGGAATCTAAAAATTACGTGATTGAAAGATCTCTTTTAAAAGTTTTAGTAGAAGGGTTGTATAATCTCTATCGTTCGTTGATGTACCAATCCAATTGGATAGAAAATATGTAATATTAATTATATAATTAGAAGGGTTGAAAAATTAGTTGTATGAAATGAATAAGGAGAATGGACTGTATGACATACTTAAAAATAATTAAATATTTAACGCACGTTTTATTATAAATATATAAGGAATTAATATAATAAACAACGCAGTTATTACAAGTATAAATAATGAGGACGGGGGTGACTATTATTACTAAATGTCAAAGTGGCACAAACAATACAATTCATTTGTAAAATTAAACAAACAACTACATATAGACGCCAAATCAATACTCATTAGTTTGATTTGTGGATAGTTTGAAGTCAGAGCCGATTGAGTCAATGGATAAGGGGATGGGCAGGACGTTTAATGAACAATCTTGTAAAAATTAATGAAAGCTGATGACGTCGAGAATGACAATGAAATTTAGAAAAGGGTTCGTGAGAAACGCAGGACAACAGCGTTCATGATTTAGTAGTGGCACAGTTTTCAAACGAGAGAAAAATAATAAAAGTAGAGAAAAATGTATATTGATGCGCAGTCTAATATTAACTCCAATAGCTATAGAAGTGGTCAAGATGACCTAGTGCATCGCAAGTCACCAGATAACAAGGGCTGATGCTAGAAGAATGGTAGGCAATTTTGTAGACATGCAAAAATGTAGAAATTATAGAAGCGTAAAGTTTATGAGTCATAGTATGAAGATAGGAAAAATTAATAAATAAGAGAATAAGAAGTGAAATATCGGTAACTAAAAACCAGTTTAAATTTTTTTTGGAAAATTAACTATGGAGTCGTTATTTGTGCGAGGCAGCTAATAGGAACGTATAAAATAAAGTAGAAAAAGCTGTGTATGGTGTTCATAGATTTGGTGAATACATATGATAGAGTGCCGAGAGATATTAATTTAGCATTAATAAAAAACAGTGTCCCAAAAACGTATATTGATGTAATAGAGATTATGTATGAAAATATTTGTGTTAAGGAAAAAATTATATGTAGAAACCTAATAGGTGCACTCAAGGTTCTGTTTTAAGCTTCATCAATTTTCTATAATAATGGATAAAATTACTCATAAAATACAAGGTAATGTACCACGATGCATGATGATGATATAGTGTTAATAGAAGAAATACGTAATACAATAATAACAATAAACGAGAACGTAAGGTCGACATTTTAAAATATTTTGGACTGTTTGTACAAAAAAATGGTGGTATTGTTTAATAAGACGTAGTAGTGAGACTATGTTGAATTGGTTAGAGTGTTGAGAAATTGATAAGAAAGTATAGCAGAGAATGAGTGTAGCAGTGATGGAAGTGTTTAGATCGTTGAGTGAAGTGTTGAAAGAAGGTAGGATAAGGAATGAATATGTAAGAGAAAGCGTTGGAATAACGTCCATCATGGATGAGATCAGAGAAAATAGGTTAAAATAGTTTGGTCATGTATGAGGAATGATAGGAGATTATGCTAATCTGAAGTTTAGGATAAAAGTGGCTGAAATCAAGTAGTTGTGATAAAAATGAGGAAGAATAATAAGAGTAAATCAATATTCATTTGAAGTTAGTGTATTCAAAAATATAAATAGTTTATAGATCCAGCTATGGAAAATAAATATATTTATTAATATATCATTAATATTTTGTAATAGTCATAAAATTATAAAAAGTTTTAGGGTACATACAAACTTAAAAATTATTATCATTATTTTATTTGCAATATAAATCAATTTTGAATTAAAATTAATCCTATTCTTAGCATTATATTATCAACTTACGTAATCTCAGACATTTTCATTTGTGGACGAATAGACTCAGTTTGTAGAGACCGTAAGCTATGTCCCATTGTGGGATCTTCATATAAGTCAGTTAGCTCGTGTCCAAGGGGTACAATATATTCATTTTTACATACTTCCCTGTAATTAAAATTATATTTTATTTATTTTTCAAAACTGTATGAATATATAATATTTAATTTTGGAAGAAGTGTACATTGTTGTGGCATGCGATTCTAAATGTAAAGCAATCAGTAAATCATAGAATCCTTGTCGTAGCGGACCCGACATGTACTCTGAACATATCGCATATAAAAGTTGTTTTTGATCAACATGTGTACATAATATGTGAGCTGCTCGATAATTTGCTTGATAACAAACTGCAGCATACAGTGTTAATGTGTGGGCATGGAAGCTGTAAAAGTAATTTGTAAAAATGTTACAAATAAATCTACTATTTAAATTATATAATATATATATTTTATATTAAACGTACGACAATAGTTTTTCCATTTCAATCAGTTCTAATATATCAATGCATCTATCTTCTTCGGGAATGTGCAAAGCAAGCATTGATACCGGGTCTTCGCAAAGGATACTCCATCCTCTAATATCTGATAATTTCAAAGTATGTATATGAAGAGAATTATTAGGAACTCTTGCCCATTGGTATGGTCTTAAACATTGTACTTTTAATCTGGGCGGAAACTATAAAAATTATATTTTTTTTGAAATTAATAATTATTTTATTAGTTAAAAATAGATAAATACCTGCGGAATAACATGGCGATCAGAGTTTTGTAGAACAGCTGCTGATAGAGGTAGTGTAGTTGACGTTCTGCCTAACTCAATTTGTAATATTTCTTTGCTACTAGCTTCGACAAATATTGCAGGGAAAATTTTAATTCCCGGTTCCATCTAAAACGAATTATAGTAGTTAATATTAAGTTTAAAAATATAATGCGGTTTTAAAATTTACCTTGAACTTAACACTAGTATCTTTACCCTCACATGTAAATGACATTAATCCAGTTGCTGTATCAATAAAACAACCAACAGTCATTCCTTGGGATGCACCTTTACCTGAAGAGTCATTAGTCACTTCATTATAAAGCTCATCCGATCGGACCATATAGCAACTCTGACGATCAATACTAAGGATAAAGAAATATTTTATGCTAGATTTTATACACAAAAATATAGTTGAAGTGTTACCTTTCTAAAATTCTGTTATGTTCGTCAACGATAGTAACAGTACTTTTACGTACATGGTTTTGACTAAAGTCTTTACTATGTAAGTGATACTGTGTGGTTACCCATCCTACATATACATGAGTTGGGTCTTGACCAGGAAATATTCTTACGCCATAATAATATTCGTTAATCAATCTCAAACATTCAGAATCAAATATCTCATTTCCTATATATTCAATTCCAGAGTTGGTGGGTGTAAATGACATTGCTTTAGGTCCACTAGGCCTGTCAGGTATTGCTGGTGGGACCAGTTTTAGGTCAGCCTAAGAATATGATTTTAAATATTAATGATTATATATTATATACAATCATTTTCATTTTCTTTTAAAATAAAAATATACATACTTGCGACACTCTTATTTGAGGAGTTATTCGTTCATTTAGTGTACTAGGCCTATGAAGTTGTCGTGACCTATCAGTGTTTCTACCAGGATCTGGGGTTTTTGCTCTTTTTGGAATATCTCCCGGCCCATCTTTTTTTCTCGAAAAAAAACTAAAAAAAAATATATAAATATAAATAGTTCAGTTATTACTAATTTTACATGCTTACCGAAATGGTGATCGGCCTCTTTTCTTTTTATCTTCTTTGGTTCTATGGTGTCCCTCTTGTTTCTGCTGATTATACATGGTAAAATCTATTTCACTGGATGAACGACTCATTTTAATCCCTAAAAATACACCAGTTCAATTTATTTTTAGGTTTTTCCATTTATATAATTTACCATTTTCAACAATTAATTCATCATGTCTTGATAATGATCCTTTTCTAGGAGGTCTAGGTGGTGGTGGTTGATTTTTACCTCTGGGTGGTAGTGGCATTGAATTGGCCATCAGCTCTTCATTTTCAACAGGATCATCAGAGTAACGATGAAGACCTATTAAAAAAATAGTATAAAAATATTTATTTTTCGATATAAATTATTGAGTACAATTTTCTCGTTTCGATGCAAAGCTGAAAAGGTATTAATTTTACTATGATGTCATTTTTTTGTCTGTTACCATTTATTATTAACTCTCCTGGACCGATTTTTGATAAACAATACTTCAAAAAAGACATTACCCTCAACAATTGAAAAAATTTTCGTCGTTCTCCGTAAATAAAAGATATTCCCAAAAAAATTACTAATTTAAAAATTGGTAATTTTCGATATTTTTTCAAATTTTAGCTTCGATGCGAAGCTGAGAATGTATTAATTTATTATAATGTGTTTTTTAGCTTTGATGCGAAGCTGAGAAGGTATTAATTTTACTATGATGTGTTTTTTTTGTGTCTGTTGCCACTTTTTCTCAGCTCTCACTGGACTGATTTTGATGAACAATATGCCAAAATCGTATCTAGTTGAAGACATTACTCTTAAAAATTTTAAAAAAATTTCCCTCGTTCCCGTAGACGGGGGAAATTTTCAAAAAAATTACAATTTTTCAAATCGTCAAATTTCGTCTTTTTTTCTTAAAACTACCATAACTTTTTTAAAAATTAACAAAACAACTTTTTTTTTTTTTTTATTAAAACCTTAAATATTTTCCTTTCATTTAATGCAATTTTTTTTGAAAATCTAACACTTAACCTGCTCACATCGGGGGATTTAAAATAGCAACTTTTTTACAAAAACAAGCTTTTTCAAATTAACTTTTGAAAATGTTCCGAAAATACTGCGTCCTTTAAACAAATGTCAAATTAAAGCTTATATCATGTACTATAAAATTAAAAAAATAATGTGTCCCGACGACTTATCTTCTATGTGCAAATAGCTGCTGTAGTTAAAAACAAGGTATTTTTGTGTTAAAATTTTTGATTTCATATTTTCAAGTTTAAATTGCTATAACTTTTAGAAAAATTTATGTATCAACATAATTTTGTTTCTTTCTAAATACATTATATATACTTCTTTCATTTAACATAGTTTTAATTTAAATTGGACAATTTGACTTTATACAGGGGGCATTCAAAACTTGAAACATATTTATAAAAAGTAGAACTTTTTCAACTTAACTTTTGAAAATGTTCCAGAAATATGCTATTTTTGTGTTAAAATTCTGTGTTTTGTATTTTATTTTATTTTAAAATATTGTACAAGGGAAATACACTGACTTTCATGAATATTATATAATTTAATTGACATAAAATAAAGTTCATAAGACATAAGAAGTTAAACTTATATAAATTTTTT